GGATCTTCTCTGGTATACTATCCCTTTATTTCGGCCAATTTCTACATTTTTCCAGCGATCCGCGGAGCCTGGTAGAGGCTAGGCCACGGCCCGAGGGACTACCTCCTCGAGGTGGATTACTTTTGGATCCGGATCAGAGGAAATCAATCTGGATTGGAGCGTTGACACTGCAAAAAACGAACCGGGTTGACGAATGTTGATCGGGATCAACGCCCATTCCGGATCCCGGTGATTTTTTCGTTGATCCCGATTATTTTTTTTTATGTGAACGGAGTTCTACACTACCATCGGATACATAAGACTTGCGGTAGCAGCAATGGTTGCAGCTATGTCATTAACCTCTACCAGGCTTCGGGAGACTGCTGGTAAGAGTAGAAATTGGCCAAATAGAGCTCGAGAGACAACATGACAGGGGAGTTGGTCCGCTATAGAGTACATTTTCGGCTGCGGCAAAATGTTCTCTCTAGCGGACCAACTCCCTTGGTATGTTATCTCTCTATCTCTAATATGAGTGTGAGAATTTGTTCCTACATGTATTACCAGTCAGTGCGTTATACTCCAATCACGTGATAAAAATGACCACAGCGACTTAAAAAAGCAGCTAGTTTTCTGAAAACCACGCCAGGTACCTATTGCGCAGGCACCTGTGTGTCTTACTTAAAAATCAAGCATGTTCCCTGCTGCAATACCTTATAAAGCCGCTATAGTACGGAAAATTAGCCTTCGACTTCGTTGTCCCAATGAGCTTTCCCTATAAATATAAGCTCCTTGGTTGTCCCAACCCCAACCTACGTACCAAATATCATAGATATGTATGGTGTTCTTAACCACATAACCTTCTGAAAGTGGTAAAATTATTCAGCAGCCGGCACCAAAAAAGGAGGCAGTTGTTAGGTTAATTATCATCCTTCTTTATTCACTGATTAGAAATCACCACTCTAGACATACTAAGATCACTTCACCATCACCTAGATACTCTAATAACATTACATTATAATATTGGAAAACTAAAATGCAATGTCGACTGATATACTTAAAAACTGCAAAATCAAATCACACAGAACACTTTATACTGGTTATGTACTTTGAGTGAGAATTCCTGGCAGTCTTTCTAAAGTATATAGAATTCTAGTACATAGATAATTCCGAGAAGTAAGCTGGTGATGTTATAACAGTACTACACTCTCTGCTTATAGTGTAGATTATTACAAAAATACTTAGAATCGACTGGATGTCAGTTACATTTTGTCCATTGCAAATCGGAGCATTGGTGAACATATATGTGTACTATGACGTGTCAACTTAGATATGACCGGGTGTTTACAAACATCAGTTACAATCATTTACAGAAAAACACCAAACAACAAAGAATAGATCATACACACGGTTACATTTACTCACCAAAAGTTAATGCAAGATAAATATTTACAGTAAAATACAGCAGTTTTTCAAATGTTAGAATCATTATCTTCATATACATCAAACCACCAATAGAATCTAACCACTATCACACGATTATAGTCATACATTTTCACACCCTCAGCTGAAAAGTTTAATCATGTTTCATATGTTGAAGCACAAATAACCATAAAACATACTGCATGGCTACTGTAGCTGCTTGTAGGTAGTTTAGGGGAGAAGGGGTCCGAGAGAAGAGAGGTTTTTCACTTCTCACCTCTTATCAATAGATGTCATACAAAGTCACCAAATATTTTTGTAGGAAACAAAGAAGAAAGCATGATACTGCAATACCCAATGGCATGAATACAACAAAAATGCTTGACTTCAGCTCCATAAGCCCTATAATTTCTGTGCGTATGAACACCATGCTAAAATGCAAAGCTGCCTACATCCATGAAATCCACAAGCAACATTTGACAAGCTATAGTCTCACAAATCTCTTTAAACTATACAATATATGTGACACACTGTTGACACAAGACAACACTAGAGAGGGTACTTACTTCCATCATCAGCCAAAATGGTAAAACCTTCATAGGTTCTAAGTTCTAACCATCACGAATGCCAAAGAATGATGCACTCTGGCATTTTTCTTGAAAAAAAAAAAAACTTCTTACGACACAGCACGTCATCTATGGCAAGTCTAGTATCATAACATGAAGTTTTACAACATTTCTGACGAGTCCACAGAAAATACTGGTCATATACAGATATGATAGACTATTTCATGATAGGTTGATCAAATCTTGTATGGTGAGTCAGGTTGATGTTAAAATTATGTATATACACATGTATGTCATGTGTATACATAATCAAAAAGCCTTATAGGACAGACCTGGCTTACACAATTAGTTTGTTGAATCTCCCAGGCAAATGAGACAGGGCAAGGTAATGTGGAGTTAGCTAAAAGCAAATTATCACTGAGAGGTGGTCCCTGTAAGTTTAAAAATACTGGGATGGTTATCCTATGCAGCATTCAAAGGGGTAGTCAAAGCATGCAAGAATCTCACCTTTTTATGTGGCCAAAAAGGACATTAAAATCCTTTAAAAGACAGAAAAAAGTTTTTCTTGTGTGGTTTTAAGATTTGTCACAGCCTGAGCTGAAAGTAAACCTGGTGAGCATAGAAAAAGCGTGCTCATGAAAGGAAGGCATAGGTCACCAAATAACCACTGAAATTAAAAACAGTTTTCAAGGTCACAGAACGTTGCCCTGTTTATCATGGTCTGTTTTCACTCCCGTCTGTCATGGCAATAGCATTGCCGTCCTCTCCCATCTCACCGTTGTCTCCTTTCCGCTTTGTGTAGATTGGAGTCAGAAGAGTGTGTATTCTCTGTAGAAGGAGGAAAATCTTGTGTAAGGTTATCAAGAACTTCAAGTTTACAGGCAGCAACAAGCATGTAAGTTGATGCTTACTTAATATAATGCAAGAATCAGTTGTTTTTCTCCTGTCTAGCATTTTGTTTAATGATTGGTGAAACTCACTCACTCACTCACTCTCTCTCTCTCTCTCTCTCTCTCTCTCCCATAGCTTTGTCAGCCATTGGGGCAGCATGATGTTTGGCAAAGATTTGTGATTGGTGAAAACAGCTATAAACCCTGAGATTGAGGCATATCCTTATATCTGCTTGGAGATTCTGTACACACCTCAGAAAGGTATAGAATCACCATATATTATATTCTATACCTTGGACATTCTGTACGTACCTCAGAAAAGGTTCCTTTTGTTGTCAGGATCTTGTAGACGAATCCTACCGGGATCATGACCATGGAGGCCAGCGCCATGAGCCAGCCTAACGCCTCACCCCACGGTGGGTACTCATACGTCTTGTTGTATGTTGGCCTTTGGTACTTTACCAGGGAGAAGATGAAGATTCCCTGAAAGATAATAATATAATATGCAAAATGTTACAATATGTACATGCAAGTCTCTTATGCTCCATTTTTTAGGCATTTCTGCAATTCTGCAACTGTTTTTAGAATAATCATTCTTTGACTGTGCAGTGGTTAATATGAATTTATATTAACTGTCTTATAATATTTTCTCCTTATCACATAACCTACATCCCTAACCCTATGTTGGAACAGAGGGTGTCGGAACATAGGGCTCCCTTGTTGAAGGATATTAAAAATACCAAGATAAAAGTCAAACCTGAACAGACTCACCATTGTCATGATAGGGGTGACCACCATCCAGCAGATCTTGATCCACAGGATGGGGCGGAAGCCGAGCATGCTCTTGATGTCCCAGTAAAACTTTGTGCCTCCTGTAAGAACATGATTTACATATTCAAGCTGTGTTAACCTAGTGATCATGGTTAGACAATGATTGTGCATGTAAAGCATTAGAAGTAGCAGAAGTGTCAGGTACTTTATTTCATTTTTTTGTGTGCAGGTGCAGTGGTTCAGCACCAAGGACAGGGGTGTTTACTCGTCTGGAGGTCACCAGGTTTTTCAGCAACAATATCAAGTGTGTGTCTGTGTGTGTGTGTGTGTGTGTGTGTGTGTGTGTGTGTGTGTGTGTGTGTGTGTGTGTGTGTGCCTGCATATGTGTGCATCATTCAACACCTTGGTAGACTAACTTGTAACATCAACACCTTGGTAGACTTCATTGTAACAATGTCACAAAAAGCATTCAGACTACTGGTAGCCCAACAAATAAGTGTCATACCAAAGTTCCAGCCCACACGATCACCCAACCCGTAGAACCAGCCGATACAGATGGCCTGGAAGAAGGTCACCCACAGCAAGGTCATCCCACTGGCAGAGTAGTTGTCAAACAGTTGGAAAACGTACATCCCACCCTGGACAGAGGGGAGATGGAGAAATGGGTTAATACACCAAGTGTCACATCATATCTATGTAATATCTATGTACAATGTGGTATAAGGTTTATATGCAGGACTAGTTACAGCCAGTCATTGGCATATTCAGATTTCTAGATGACTTGATGATAAAAACTAGGAGGTTAAACCTCCATGATAATGTGATTTCCATAGGGTTGTGTATACATGTATATGATTCCTGTGTTTGTACCCATTTATAAATGCATTTGAATAACTTTACATCCAGCTGACTTAACACCTGAAAAGATGTTAAGATGTTCCAAATCTAGATATCCATCCCTGATAACTGTTGCATTTGCAGGAAAAAAGCTTCTCACCTGGGTACAGAAAGCGAGTCCTATAAGGAACTTCACAAAGCAGACGACTGCAATGAAGATCTCCCTGTTGTGTCCACGGCGGAGGAGGTGAGGGTACATGTCCTGGCACGACGTCACAAACCCCTCCACCCCGCAAAACTAGCAACGAAGGAAAAGTGGAAACTGTTCATTGCTGACACTGACATCATAACAATCAGGTTCTGATCAGGCAGTGTTAATCCAGGGCCTGCATGCCCTTTTTCGTAAGGCGTAATCAGGCCTTTTTAGTCTTCGTAATCCGTAGGCAGCCTCCCAAACATCAACGTAATTTATAATAGTACATTAGCCACAAAACGTAAAGCCGTAATCAGCTCTGAGACTTTAACGTAATTTGTAATCAACGGCAAAATTTTTTTGTAAATTCGTAATCACTCCCCCCCCCCCATGCAGGCCCACTTAATCCGTTGTCCCGTCTGATCTGTATTCAGCTGTAGATATACATGTATACATTTGTAGGTATTTCCTGTGAATCTAATTATATTGGACACTGTAGGTGTTAATTCTTATACTAGAGAGAAAAATTCCCTGCAATTTAGTGCAAATGCAAATTCTAAATTTTCATTAACTTTTTGGACATAACAGGTCCTAACCGCAGCCAGGTCACATCAAAGACTTAATGCTTTCTCTACTTAGTGGTCAGCACACACCACTACTAGAGGACTTGTGTGGTGCTTGCACAGCTGTCAAAGGGCTATAGAAATGCAAATTCTCTGGGAAGGATATTTACCTCACTGTCCAGCCCCAGCAGCAGAACCATGAAGAAGAAGAGGATGGCCCACAGAGGTGACAGCGGCATCAGGGTCACGGCCTTTGGGTACACGATGAACACCAGGCCAGGACCTGGACCATACAAGGTAAAGAACCAATCACGTCACAGGTGTCAAACAATGTCAAGTCAGTGAGTGTAACATGAAGCCTGGTTGGTTGATTTGAACCTTTTTTCGATTTATAAATCCTGACATAATCTCCATCATCTGTAGTGCGATGTTGAAGTAAACTACATGAAATACTCAGTCATAATCACTCTAAGTAACATTTTTGGTCCTCAGCACTACATTAGGTCATCTATGTTTATGATACATTAGGTCATCTATGTTAATGAGCGTGATTGAAACCTCATCATGAGTTGTCAAACATCATATATGATGATGCCAAAATTTGTGTATGATTAAATGTTCAATGAATACATTATTAAAACATTTTGCATTGAATACCAGAGATTACAGCAATTGCTTACAGCCCTATATTCCAACACCATAGGCCCATTTTCCAACAACACCACCTATGTTGCTACAACCCTATGCCAGCCCTACAACCCTATTATTGCAACATAGAGGCATTCCAACACAGGGTTGTCCGAACATAAGGCAGTCCCCATTCAGTTTGCTTCCTGCAGTGAAATGATTTATGCATAAGATCAAGCTCAGCTAGATGAAGTTTAGGGATAGCTTGTTAGTATAGTAGACAATAGGTTCTCTGTTTACCTGACTCGGCCACATCGGCCACAGACACTCCCTGCTGGAGAGCCATGTTACCCAGAAAGCTGAAGATGACGATCCCAGAGAGAATGCTGGTGCCAGAGTTCACACAAGCAAAGACAACAGCATCCCTAAGAATACATGAGGTATGTTCTCAGCAATTCCACGTAATAGATAGAGCACGGTTTGAGGCTGAATATGTGGTTCCCGAACTGCCCCGCCCAAACTGGGCGATTTCATATCACCCTCGGCCGGAAACCATGTGTGATGGTCAGCTATTCAGTCTGCTCTGATCCTCTTGGGCATAAAGCTGGACACTGCCAGTGGCCAGCTTTTGTTTCCATGGATACAAGTGTGGGTCTGATTTATAATGTGTTAGTTAGAGCACCTAGAGATAGACCAATTCCAGCTCACTGGTTGGCTGAGAAGAGGGTGGCTGGTCAGTTAGTGCACCTCTACCCCAACGGAGAGAGGTGCACTAACTGGAAAGAAGGCTACTATGTGAATATAATCACTAGAAATCCATGCAGGCTCTCTATTTGCTGAGCAGACCAAGCAGTGCTCTAACAGGTATGGAGAATCCCCTTAGAATCACCAAGCTAAAGTTCTGGATTTTCTGGAAGGCTTGAAATATGGTGGAATTGCTGACAACAAGTGGCAAGAAAGAGAGAAACAGGTGTGAACCTTAAACACTAAGAATAAGAAGTGCTTATTGCAAGTACAAAGCATATAAACTACACACTTGTATATAAATCTTGTCAACTATATAAACGAGCTGTAAAAGAATTTGTTTATAGAAAATAGGTCTATCAGCCAAAGTCCTTCTTGGGATTGCGTTCCACATATTTCTTCAGGAGATAAAATCCACTGCTTCCTTATGTGTCCACATCATAATGATTGTAAAATTTGCATAAATGCGGACACTCTCGGAAGGACCACAGGCTGCAAATGCAGTGGAAACTACAGATACAGCAGTGAACTTGCAATTTCTGACTCAGAAGTGAGCGTTAGCATCAATAATATTAAGATAAAGTGTTAATTGAGCACTGAAGGTTGTAGAAGGCACCCCAAACTGCAGCTAAAGAAAGCACCCTGTAGAGTAAAATAGAGGAGCAGCAAGATATTTTGGGATGGTTTCTAAACTGTCACATCGCCCAATCAGCCTCCTGTGGACAGGAAACGAGGTCAGTATACTATACCTGATTCTGCAACCTCTGCCACCGTCACGTCCTGCTGCAAGGCCATGTGGCCCAGGACGCTGAATATCACTATACCCGACAGGAGGCTGGTGCCTGTGTTCACACACGCAAACACTATGGCATCCCTGAGGGGGCAAAAGACCGTTGAGTTTTATGGTTAATGTTTGTTAACAAAGTTGTTAACAACCACAATATACTGTTCACATTCCTCTCAGTGTTGCAGACTGTACAAAGAGCAGCACACAAAGCTGTGTCACAGAAGGTGTAGAAAGATGACAGGCTTGCAGTAGACATTCAACAAGTACATGTACAAAACATCACAACCTGGAAAGCTATTGGTAGGTTATAGAATATGAAGTGTATAATAATATGAGGTGTATATCCATCAGTACTGCAAAAGTGTCGATCCTGGAAGCCATTTTATTCAGCAGAGATGGACTGCAAGATTCCATGTTAGTATGTCAATGTCGGGGTGTTCAGTTAAAAGAAAGGATGTTTCAAGGATTGGGCAGATATTGAGTTCAGCACCATGGACAGCTACAACATGGTGGTTGCTACAACACAACACAACACAACACAACACAACACAACACAACACAACACAACACAACACAACACACAATACATGCAATACATGATGCATGCAGCAAATGGAGATGCATGATCACACTCAGATGCTCTAAAAAGTCTTTCTAATTCTAAACTTAGCTCATGCAAACATTGCCCACACAAAGACTACGCCCTTATTGCTGTTATATACACAAGCTAAGACATATCTTTTCATGCCATTTCACCATAGTTACATAGTGATAACATAGGTTCAGAACCTATACTTTTATAGTTTTTTTTAGATCACAGATTGCATCAGTGCTGAGTTCACATGTATTCACCTGTGGCAGTTGTTGTTGAACTTGTTGTAGCTGCCCAGAGCGATGAGAGATCCCAATCCGATGGAGTAGGAGAAGAACACCTGGGTTCCTGCATCCATCCACACCTGTACAGGTAAGGTTTGACATGCAGATCAACATATTCATCTATCTTGTCAAAAACTGCAGTATGATATTATTCAGTTAGGCCCCATTCTCACAAGGGTAAAATTGTCCGAATCGGTCTGAATTGATTTGCTTTGATCCGGCTTTGATCTGCCTCAATCTGGCTTGAAGCCGGATCAAAGCAAATCAATTCAACACGATCCAAACAATTTTACCCTTGTGGGAATGGGGCCTTAGTAGAAAATTTTTAAAGATGTAACCAAAGAAAGTTTAACTTGAAGTAGGATGTGCAACATCAACTCTCATAATTCTAACAGGTGCCCTATAAGACAACCACATTACAGAAATGGGGAATTTAAAGAGACGCAACATTAGCCATCCCTGAGAAATGCACACTTCATTAATCCAGACATTGAAGAAAATCTTGAGAAGGCCTCCCTAACACCTTTTTTGCATTGCCTGGCATAATCATGAGAGATGACACAACATGTTTATATTGTACACATCTTCCTGTGTGTGGTTATTGTCTCAAAGACATACCTCTGGGTCTCCCAGCCTGGTGATGTTTGGCTTCAGGTAGAACTCCAGTCCTATACCAGCACCATCTAGTGTTACTCCACGGACCAGCAGGATAAAGAGTACCACGTAGGGGAACAGGGCTGTGAAGTAAACAACCTAGGAGGAAGAGGAAAAGCAAGTCAGCCTGCAAAACTCAATAATGTTGTTAAACAAAGCTCATCTGTTTGAGTATAGCAACAACGTGTACATGTGTGTGCCACATAATCATAAGTTGCAATAGAAGATTGACAATTTACACAAGAAAACAAAGATTGTACACCTCCATATCAAACCATGTCAAAGGTATTTTTTTGTTTTGTTCATTATTGTGAAGCTATCGGTGATTCCGTGTAACTGTTATATTCCACTGTCATTTTGACCTACATTCGATTTCCACCTTCATTTTCTGTGACTCTTCTGTATTCAAATACCGGTAAATACAATTATAAGGCACACAATCACAAATAAATAGACAAAGAAAAAAAAACAAAACCTCTGAACTTTTATCAGCAGACGTACCCTGCCAGTACTCTTGACTCCCTTGAAGATACAGAAGTACACGATGATCCATGCCAGCAGTAGACACAGGATCAGCTCCCACTGCATGGAGCCTGGCTGGTCCAGTCCGCCCGAAATCTGCAGCACACGGTTGCTGGCAAAACACAAGGAGAAGTAGATCATCAAAACACAAAGGACTACCATAGAGTGTCTATCTTTAATGCTATATGATAATATGATATAGGATCCTGACAATGTTTTACACTAAATTCAGGAGGACTGTTAGGGCTTGAAATTCATTTTTAGGAATAGGTGCACTGGTGCACCCAACCTAAAAAATTGGGTGCACAAATTTTTTTGGGGGGTGCACCATATAACATGTTTCATTTCTTAAGAAAAGTACTATAAGAATTATTTCATCATTTTTCTGGCACTTAGCTGTATACTACTGTACATTTAACATCTTTATATACCTAAACCTACCACAATATTTTGTGTGCAGTCCAAAATTTTGAGCCTTGTATGTGTATTACACTTTATTTGAGGTTATCAGTAATAACGACATACTTCCAGTATTCCAATGATGCTGCAATCCGGGTACCGTTCTCATTGGTGGCGTTAGGGGCCACGGTTGTCATGGTAACGTTGAGGAGCGTGCTGTTCACCGTGCTGTTCTCAGACTTCCGGATCTCCTCATCTGACGCAATGCATCTTGGGATAGAAAAAAAGACGTATTCTAGATCTTTTCATGCCAATGCGATCAACCAGACTTATTGTAATCTTCCATTCTAGTCAATAGGTATGCTTCTTGAATGTTCATCGAAAATTCGGAAAAAGTTCGTTCACAGTCTAAAGTCGGCCACTTTATTTTCTTAGTGAAGCTTTGAACATCAATTTATCATTTTTACAGACATGAGAGGACCTCTGTGAAACTATGTACGGCGTAGTTCGCCTGACTGCCTTGGTTTATCAGAACGGCTGATCTAAATGGACTACAGAAAGTCATCTGAATGCACTCTAGATCTATCCTAGACGTTCAACTTCAAGCCGCAATTTCAGAAGAAAACGCGTCTCCAGACAAAATGGATCGTTTTGCACCAGACAGCTGAGACATCTTGTCCCCAGGCCAGGCAACGTTACGAGCAAAACCAACTTAAGTCCGCCGGCCAGAAATACGATGTCGGCAAATGTCTGTCTTTGATCGTTGTTGTTACATAATCCTTGTGGCGCCACGTTTTCTGTGCTTTTTTTTTTTTTTGCCTAGCGGTCATAAAATCAAAATGAAGAAGTGCCGATCTGAACAAGTTCTACTTAGCGCCATCAATAAGCTTCGTAAAAACGAGCTATGCGACGTGTGATTCTGTGATATCAGGAACGACTGCGCTGTTTGTACCCTGTATGATAAGTTTCTGACAAGTCCAGTACCAAATTTAGTTGTTAAAGACCGACACTATTAAACCTGGTATCCAATCTATCGTGATTGGGCAGGTTTTCTTCGGGGCTGCAGGTGCTCTTTCCCGCCCACCTGAGCTAGGTTCCCCCGGTTTTTCACGATGGGATTTTGATTACTCGTACGAACACGATGTGCCATGTGGTGGGCGAAATCAACTCCCGACGTGCCAAACTCTATTAGCAAAGCTCCTAAAGGCGTAAAACTCCCACCGGGCGGTCTGTTGTACTTGGCAGGAAAACTATTAAAGCCCTGAAGACAGCCTGCCCCAACCACGATAGAGACTGGATACCAGGTTTAATAGACCGACACGTACCTGGGCGTGTTCCACCAGTTCCCACACGTGGCCCAGGGCAGCTCGGACGTGAAGGAGGCAAAGAAGTAGTGCAGAGCCCAGCCCATCACCATGACGTAATACATGTTCAGGAAACTCACAATCACCATGGACGCCATTCCAATTCCTGAAGAGACACATGGTGATTTATGTCATATATGAATAAGATATTAATACTATATGTTTACATTTCGATAGCCCTGTATCATGTTGTTCTGTCCGACCCTGACAAAAGAGCATATTAAGATACTAGTAGCACAGCGCTAAAGAATTCTGAGAAAGACTGCCATAGGACAATACGTTGGGCAAAAGTTTTACGTTTAAACTTTAAAGTTTTTTTAGTTTTGGAATAACCTTTATCACTCTAATTCCTATTGACTACCTGTACCCGGTGTGCCACCGTGTGGCGACTTCTGAAACTTTTGATACTTCACCGCAATAAAAGAGGTAATTTGAAAAAGTCACTTAATGCGTCACGCCTTCTGGTGTGATCCCACCCTTATCATGTCAAAATGCCAAGGTGGTATTTCTCGGCGCACTTTCCCGACAATCGTCATGAATTAGCGGTTATGTATGCCCGTTTCCTGCTGTCGCCATCCGTAACTGCCAGTATTACCTGTCCCCCGCTCGCTATGACGTACCATCACGTCATCACTGAGGGACAAGGTGTAGCGACTCCCCTCCCTGTTCACGCCTTGGGTGCGAATGACAGACTGTCTGGAGACTCCGGAACGATCGCCGCTCTATCACAACCGGTTATCAGACGTTTCCACCTGTTCCGAGCCGCTCTTATCTTGATGTGAACAGCGAACAGCCCGGAGCTCACCTCGGGATGACAGACGGGCCGCTCAAACTTCTCCCCGCAGGATCTCAGGTGCGCGCGCGGGAGGGTGTTTGGCTCCTTAGCGGTAGGATGTAATAAAGCCTCTGCAATACTTACAATCCTGCTCAGCTTACGGAAACTTATCGCGCCATTTGTCTTCAGAGTATAAGGACACGTGAGGGCGTATAACCGGCGTTGGCCGCCGAGTCTGCCTTTTTCGGCACTACTTTTAAGTCGGAAAATATGCCCAACTCTCTGGCGATTTTGAAACTCTGACGATGAACGAATTCGACGTATCTAGTCGGAAATTCATGCTGTCAAAACAGCTTGCTATATAATTTTCTTATCGTATAGGTAATTTGGCTAGAAGTTTCGGCAAGTTTCAACTTGAAGTTTCAAGTTTGGGAAAACTTGACACACTAAACGTGCAAGAAGTTGACACGGTGGTTTACTAAATACACATACCACGTTCTTACCTGAGAATAGCGGGCAGATGTTCCAGGCCTTGAGTCCGCCCAGACTCATGAACTGGCCCAGGGCGATCTCCAGGAAGAATGTGGGGATGCCCGCTCCCAGCAGGAAGATAAAGTACGGGATGAGGAAGGCTCCTGTGGAAGAAAATATTCGTGTATAAGTAAATATGATTTTTCGCTGCAGGACATATACCAAGGAGGTTCTTTTAAGCAAGGAGGTTTAAAAGAACTTCCTTGCTTATACTTTTATTGTCAATGAAGCAGGCAGGTGCTAACCGCCATGTTGGTGTCCCTCTTTTCATTTCATTGGTTCGTAACTCGAGCGTACACAGCAGTAAATATTTCAGTGTTTTACGTACTCATCTAGCAATTTTCTTCTTTGAGCTGTAGTAATTATTTGACAGTCCATGGAGGTAATTTTTTACCTCCATGGACAGTCCAAAGATATTTAATTGCATGCAAACGCATGAGTTATGATTCACGGAAATGTCAAAAAAATCTTAAATCCTCTACTCTGTACTCTCCACTCTAATACATATCTTTGGCATTTGCTATCTTGTCAGGAAGCTTCTGATTCATTACAGCGATTAGTTCGGCCTGTGGTATCAACAGATAAAGACCGTGTGTGTGCAATCCCTTTAGTCAGCGAAGGGATTTGACTAATTGGAGCGATTACGAAAGGAAAAGTCGCAGGAAATGCGGCATTATATTGAGTAAACGTGGTGACAACCGATTCGTTCTTCAATACCAACGGTACATGATGAAGCTTTCTGGCTCTTTTCATCAAGCGTATCATGTTTTGAGCACATGGAAAAGTGTAACGTTATGTGCGACCTTCATCTAATCCAAAATACTGTAATATATTGCATTGTGCAATGTGTATGGAAGTAGTTGATCTTATTAGTTCAGATGAATTGGAGCGTTGTTGGTTTTACCTGTCTATTACTTCGCAATGTACTCAGAAAGGCCAGCGGTCAGAAAACCGCCTGTTTAACACCTTCGGACACTAAAAGCGCAACTTATTCTCACGCTGCGCTGAGTCACCGGCCGGGAAAGCGAAATAGCGACGCTAATATGTTGACAGTTATTGAAAATGACGATCTAGATCAGAAAATTTCAATTATTTATATTTTCAATTTTGGCGCAAAAATATTACATAATATCGCTTTAGACATCCAACATGGTGAACGTTACGTCATAGTTACGTGACTGCCAGACACTATATCAGAAGAGAGATGAAAACTTTGCGAGCACTTTTAAGACATTGTTTAGTTTAGTTGGGCGGCTGAACCGACACTTTCAATCACTTTCCAAAGTACCCTGACACGGAGCCGAATCGCTCATGGGAAATACAGACATCAGAAGAATAACATGTTATTGAAATAACAGGGCTAATGTTTGTGATAGCCATCTGAAAATGTGGTTCAAAACTACGTAACGCAGCTCAATGCGACTGCTCGATAACGCCAGAACGTCTCCGAAGAATCCCATCAGGGTGGTGCATATTGTCGACAATTGCTGCCAACGCTTGCCGTGGGGTACTCCGGCGCCGAGCATTGGTATTAGCGAAAGGCAGCAATAAAAGATAAGAGCATCACAGGTCCTAGGTGGCCTACGCACTGCCAGAAGCTGTAGACATGGTTACTGGAACTCGGGGATGATGTTAACAGCGTAAGGCAGGGAAGAACATCACGGAATACTTAATAAAAACTTAGAACAGATCATATACATGTACGTTGGATAGAAATGTTGACATGTTACAGTTATCGACAGGTTTGTTTCTCGTACGTCGGTGGGGCTTGGAGAGGTTGTCACCTCTTCGGTTCTTGTACCCGTTTTCGATGTTTGTCAGAATACGAAGAACGTAACGCTCTCTCACTTCAATCTCTGCTTGGGGAGCAGGGCTTTTCTACTCGTAGTCGACTGTAGGTGGCTCTCCATTTGTAGCAAGTGAAAAGGTATGGAGCCAGTGGTGTAGTTACAGTAGGATGGCGTTCAGATCCAGTCTTCGCCCCTGTACCTTCGCCCTAGCAGCTGTGTTCCCGATTCGAAAAAGTTTTGGGAGCGACAGTAATCACCTGCGAAGTGCGCTACACTTAGAGCAATTATGTATTCCTCCCATACTCCCGCTATGGGGTAGGATCACTGCAGTAGAGCCCACCGAAGACCATTTAAAGGTCCAGTTTTTTGCCGATGAGCCTACTGAAGAATGCGCATTTTCAAAATCTGCCCAAGATTTGTGACTTTTGCCATGCTTTGCGCTTTAAATAAACTGTTCGTAATTTCTGTCAATGCATGGATTATATAGGACTGGCCCTAACATGCAGAGATGTTTGAAGAGTAATTGTACAAGAAGATAATCCCCTTAGACGATCTTATAAAATCACCAGGTTCGTGAGAGGATCGCTCTGGATATGCGTGGGCTAATCTTGAAAGGTGTTCTAATCTGGGAACTTCAGCCGTTTATAGTGCATAATTTATACTCAGCGGTGTCTTGTTTACGGGTACAGGAAAGCAAAGGGCGTAAGTAGCTGACAAGTCGTGATGGATGACGCTTACGGCTCGCTCTACGGGGAGATGACAGGAGATCAGCGGGGATGTACGAGGGCCGCCTCATCAATCACGTCACCGCCACGCCCTGAATACTCTCCAAGCAGAGGTTGGTGGGGGAAGATCGATCGTTTACCTTTCTATGATTCTATATATGTCCCGTTAAAAAGGGACATAGAAAGTTAACGTTCTTCCCCCACTAACCTCTGCTTGGAGAGTAGCCCCGAATACATACTGCTGCTTCGCGTCTATACGTCTTCGTACATTTATCTATTTATCAATTTACCATGGCGTTACCATACAGTTGTGAAAGATTCAAAGATTCTCCATTCAGGTGGTCTGTGGACAGTGTGGTAATATTGGGGTCCTTCGTCTTCCTTAGAACTGAAATGAATTGACATTGTATTATGTCCTTGATTTTGGTGTAGAGTAATAGATCACTGGCAAGTTTCGAAACAACCTTCAGTCGGCTGCTTTGTTTTTGCTTGAGTCTGCAGAGTGAATTGAACCACATTGTGCTAACCAGATTTTCCTCAAACTCTCTGTAGTTTTGTCCCTTTGTTGACCCCGGCGGTGTTGTCTGAGGCAGGGGGCAGTCACCCTGACATGACCTGGACCTAACAAAAGCAGGGTGATAGCTCAGAGGTACTTTCACATGTGGGGTAAGACAAGATCTATACAAATGCGATGTATGAAATACCGCTTGTCAGACGAGGGGACATACCACTGAGGATCCAGATGTTAGGGTCAGAGTTCCGAGATGGAGCTTACAACTGACCGCGTTCGGCTTCAGTGATGTTGGACTAACCTGGAAATCACTGGTAACTATAACATCGGGAGCTCCCCAGTATCTCAGACTATATAGGGTGCTATGGGTGTTTCCTTGCCGCCCAGGCCCATTACCACACACCAGGGAATTTTTACAGGGCTGGTTTTGCTTGCTACCGAAGGCAGTCGCCAGAACGCCCGACAGAAATATATATATATATAATCATAATATATAGGCTGTCAGAAAGAAAGGCCTGTGCTCAGTAGGACTGGAACCGGTTGGTAAGATAAAACACTCCGTAGAAAATGGCTAGCTGGCTATGTTGGCACAGTCAGGTCTTTGCTTGGAGAGTTGGACGACTCCGAACACAAGTAGTACCTGATTCAAATGATGGCTGAAATTTAACAATGGTCTAGTCTGTCTAGAACCGTGGAAACGACTTGGGCCGTAACGTAAATGTTGAGCCTTACATACGTAAATCTCCAAAAGCGTTGACAATGCTGTATTATCAAAAAGTCAAGGATTACGACTTGGGGTTCTGGACTTGGCGAGCATACTAAGTTAACATATACTGTATAGTCAGAATCGCAAGGATAAGAAAATAAGACTGTCCCAACTTCTGTTCCAAAACGTGGAAGAGACACGAAAAGTCAACAACTGTAACAGTGGGGTTCAGGCACCACTAACTGATTCCTTCCAACTGCATCCAACATGTTTATTTTTTCTTTGCGTCAAGACCGAGAAAGCAGCTGTCTTAAAAAATAACGAGAAACCACCAAGTCAGCAAAGTACTCTTCCCACCGATTGTGTCGAAGGCTAAACTTTGAAAGACATGCTTACGCAACCTTAGACAGACGGAGGTCAAAATGTCACTGAGAAAGAAAGACATCCCTTCGCTTCTCCAATATTTATGAGGGCCCGTGCTGAATGGTGTTGGCGAACTTTTTGTAAACTCTGACTGATCGGAGCAGAGGAAAGCCTTTCTCATTCGGAACACATCGCCGCTATCAATGCATGTTTTCTACATGTTTTCAGCAACAGGCTTGTTTTTACAGCAGCTTCATCACAGAGCGTAAGCCCCGCTAGTAGTTGTCGTAGATTGTAAAATTAAAACGAGTAAATTTTGGCCGGTGGTTGCGGGTATAGCCTAAAGGTAATAACTCACTGATAGCCTTTATTGTTTTGCATATTTTACAGTATTAGTTACGCCCCATGTTACTAATAAACTTCACCGTATATACATCATTCCTGAACAAGATTAGCTGGGACGGTGCATGGGACCTGTGGATATATTCATGTGCTGTTGGTCCAGTCTCTCTGGCTAAATCTACTCTACTATTCTCTACTTTACCCTACTCTACTCCAGTATTTCATCCGAAAAGTGCGCACCGTGATCATTGCCTTGCACAAAATCTGCAACATGTGGCGTTTCGTTTATTAGCTTTCTGCTCCGCTGTGCAGCACCCGTACAGATGACTGTTGACATTTCAGGAATCCCCTTAAGATCCCGCAAAATTTAGTTAGCATACATAGAATTTTTTCCCTTAGCTATTACCGCGTGTATAATATGCATGAAACAATTCGCAACGCGGTTTACAGACAGAGAAACAGATTTGAGTCGACTTACCGCCACCATTTTTGTAGCACAGGTACGGGAACCGCCAGACGTTGCCGAGCCCCACGGAGAAGCCAACCAGCGCGAGGATGAAGTCGAGCTTGCCGATCCAGGTTTCCCTCTCCGGTAGATCGTCCTCTGGTGCGGACGGGGCGGCCAAACGGTTCCCGTCCGCCGCTTCGTCGGCCTTGGACGTCTTGGTCGTAGCAGGGCCGTCCATGTTGGATGGCGATCTGTGGAGGAGAGGAACGCAACACGTGAAGGAGCGGCCGGCGTTCTCAGGTTCAAAGTCGACTCCTCGCTACTCCTTGCAGTTTTCGCGCGTGTCACGTGACACCGGGCCGCAGAAATAACGAATAGCTCTACATGTGTGCGTAATGCCTGGCCTAGCCATGTTGATATGATTATATGGATGACATCCGCGCGCGCATTAATTTTCGTCCGTTTCCAAAAAAAAAGAGAAGTTTTCGACCGCACTGTAAATCGTACAAATAGTAATAGAATCAAGCTGCAAAATGAGCAAATATATGCCGTAAATTGAAAAAAAATATTGGAAAACGATGCTTATGTCGCAGAATACCAAATTCCATTCTAAAGGACAAGAAGAAAATGTAAAGGGATAAAAATGAAGTTTATTATTCACCATACCGATAAAATATTACTCTGTGTGTTTAGTCATTTGTTCAAACTTCTTGACCACCAATATTTTATAATGAAGGCAACTTTTTTTGCCAAATTTTTTCAAGTTATTCCCACGCTCGCATCAGTTTTGGGGTCAAATCAACATGGCCTAAATCATCTTCAAATGCACAGCAGGGTGCACAGGGAGTCGACACGAACGAGGATAAATAAGGATCATAAAGGTACCCCGACTTCCAGAAAGAATGGTACGAAAACAAAATATAGGAATTAATGGATATTTCACTTAAATTCACTCGTACACTACTACAGGCGGCCAGGTGTGAAATGCACAAATCAGACATTGGAATCACTGTTTAAGTACAATTTCTGACAAAACATGGACAATTTTGTTTATTGAAGTACAACTAAAAACAGGAGTAGATGGGATAGAAGAATAACAAAGCGAAGGGCCGACAATATTGCCTCCCCCCCCGAACTTTTGCAAAAGATACACCATAGGTAAAAGTTCAAAAGGTAATGTATACATTTCGTCTGTAGACATTTTCTTTGTGAAACGATGTCACAGTGGTTGTTAAGTAAACAATTACCTGCCCATGTTTACCCACGGTCAATAGACCGCGGCGGTGTACAATGGTTATATAACACGTTACGTCATGGAAGTTTCCACGCAGTGAACTTGTGAGTTGGGGTCAAACTCGGCAAGGTCTGCTAGACACGCAAACTGTACTGCACTCAAACACATGGAACAGTCAGCAAAAGTCGCTATCTCTTGGCGGAAATGCATCAGAATCATTTGTAAACATTATCAGTGAATGAGCGATAAATCTTATGATGTTAGCTTACTTCACCATTCACCAACAAAAACAACAACTTTTACATATTTTTTCACGAATAAAGATTTCAAGAATATGGCTCCTTTTAGCGCAATAAAATATGGGATAATACAGCGGGTCATTCAAAGTTCAGTTGTCGGGTACTTGACATGTGCAAACAAACTGTTTGCAATTTGTTGCCAAAGAGCTAGATAACTAGCTAACTACATGACCTGTCACACTGCGTCCTTCAAAGATCATGATGACATGCAAAAAAATTGTGGTAAAATTTCGAGCCGAGGAGTTGACCTGTGTAGGCCCTGGAAACAGTCTGGCATCCAGGCTACGCAGTTTGCAGCCACCAAAGGAGCCTGTTGTTCTACACTAGCCTGCTAAGGTCGTTCTGGGGTTATGCCAAAGTGCGGTACGCACATGCGCAGTGGTATCGGACTTGGACTTCCTGATGCCAAGTCACGGGTCCTTGCGTATGCAACACCAGACATCGTTATGGAATTGGTTTGGGTAATTCATGTCAATCAAAACGCAAATGAAACAGATGAAAAATATTTATCATTGCATACTGTGTATTGGTGAGGATCAGTGGTTTGGACCCCCCGTCACATACGTCGCACTGTCGTTATACGATCACAAAACTCAGGACATTCTTCGGAAAATCGAGCATGTGCATGTCCTGCAAAACTCGACTGTCTAAGATCCTTTTCGCCGGTTGGTTCTGTCACCTACGCCTGCTTGAAAATTCTACGGCGTCAAAATTGTACGACGAGCTACTTGTGATGATGAATACATTACTCAAGTGACGAATCGGAAAGTAAGCAGTATGGGAAGGGGCTGTATTTTTCAGCTGTCTTTTGTGTCAAGCATCTATGGTAATATCAGACTTATCTTTCTCTAAATTGTGGTTTACAACCCCATGACAATGCATGCGATATACCCTATGGCTACATCAATGTTACGTGACATTTTGTCAACACTTGCCAGCTTTTAACATCGCGTTGGCCGCACTTCAAAACTTAAGTAGTCTGCGATTGTTCACACTACAAGACATGACATCACTATTCTTTTACTTTATCAGTCAGTTCAGTCGGTTACCCAAATAGCCAGATAAGGTAAAAGGCCAAAGTCGATGTTAAGGAGAACGTTGGGGGGAACTTGTTTCGACTTTCACTCTTAATATCTGCTCGGAGATTACTGACGTCACTCTGTGACAGATTTTAGTTGCTTTGTGAATTTGTGATGCAACTTGTTTCATTGTGTAAAATTCTAAAAATGATGGAAAACGTATAAATCTTGCAAAGAACTGCTGCGGAATTTGACGTCACACCGAAGGTGTCGGATACCTTCATACACAAAGCAAGTCATTCTTGCAAAAAGGGGCGTTTGTATTGTTTTGGCGAAAGGTTATCACGATATGACCTATGGCGACAGTCGCAGTTTAACTTCACGTATGTTTACCCCTAAGGGCATGGAAAATTCCTTCGTTGGGTGTACTGGTACCTCCGTCAGCAATATCTATAGCCAACAGCGCGTGAGACAAAAGAGCGACCAACTTGAAATTGTCGGTCTGAGCGTTAATCTCCAAGCAGATGTTGAGGGCCCGGGTAGATTGTTGCATTTTCTAGCTGCCCGTTTATATCTCAAACCGCTTACCTTTGGGATTGTAGCAGAAACAAGGGCGGTTTGTGACATGTACAGCTGTGAAACGTAACGATCTAGCCTCCCCCAACATCTGCTTGGAGATTTCCGAACCTGATCACACCACAGTTGGTGAGCGTGTTTACTTCGCAAAATGGAGACTGACAAGGATTCATTGGTATCTACCGTGGGTTGCTGACAAATGCGAATATAATAGTTTACTAAATACTTCATCAGAGGAACTTACCAGGCTACTTATTCACCCACTTTGACCAATTTCCTCTATTTCTTAAATTTTAGCAACAGAAAAAGCCTGGTAGAGTCTAGAATTCATGACCACGCGTTTTCCCCCTCACATCGAAAATTTTGACAGGTGAAATTTCTCCTATCTTTAGTTAGCCGCAAATCGTGACAACAGTTCAACAAGAATGGTTGATAAGGATACCTGGGAACCATGGAAGACGATAAGTACTGACCACAAAGACACAAAAAGATAACGTAAAAGATTAAAACGAGTCGTAAATAAAACTAGCTGCCTCCTCCTACAAACCCAATCATAAATCATAAATCTAGAGCATGCAACAGCTTGTGGTTTTTGTTTATTTTAACGCAAGTCCCTGCATCGGTTACTACTAATGAGGTGGCTATGAAAACAAACTCGGGCCTTTTGTCCGCAACAAACGACTTCCACTTGTACATAGTTTCAACGTTTCAACATGGGCTCATACCACGCACTGTAGGCTCACACAAGGGTTTCAGTGTTCCCTGTGCGCTTATGGTTACCGACAACCTGTTGATTGGAGGAAGGGCGTGTTTGAACTACATGTATGGTCCATTTGAATTTGAAACATTGCATGTCACACCAAGTTAGGCCGTGGCCCCTATGTAGGAACGAGGCCAAGATTCACAGCAGGATTCTAGGAGAAACCCCGGAAAGGACGCGATCATTCACCGACAAACAAAGAGAAAATACGATGGCTGTTGTTGTGCAGTTGGCTCGCTCGCTCCTATCGTGCAGGATCTGAGAGACCAGTGCTGTACCTAAAGAGCAGCGACAGTTTGTCGAGGCCAGCAGAGATGTACGTGTGTAAGTGGCTCCTCACGTATACAACAGTCAAACACAAGTACACTGTACCCCCGACCAAGACGGTTGCCAACGGTCAACATGCTCCCTACTGTTGACTCCCTTCCAGTTGATATGCCCTTATAATGTCACAATCAGTCGAATTTGTGTCAACTGTTTAGCTTAAAGCAACTCATGACCATGTACCACTACCACACTACATAGATCGACAGCTAGTAGATTCGCCCATACTACCGGTGTACAATCATTTACATAGATTATACATGTAACGGAAGATCCCCTTTGGTTTTTGCCATTCAGACACAACAGAGGGTATAGTCTCTATGCTCCGTCCTTACATAGGTACATTATAGATTCTGTGGATGTTATGTATCGTACTTACCTGTAACTATCGCTCAGTATAGTTGGACGTGCTCTCTAGCGTGCCTCCTTGACTGCCCCCAAAACTTACAAGTCGCCCTGGCCCTGCCTTTTGGCTTTGGTTACTTTGTAATGCGCCCCACGTTTCTCTGACGTCACAGCGCATATATCAACCAATAACAGGCTCTAACACTCAAGCGACCCGGAGCGCAAGGTCTCCGCCAATGGGCTCCTGTGTTAGCCTCACACATGGGCTTTTACCGTAAACGTGGATGATCTATTAGTTGGAAATACCTCATGCACAAATGTTTCTATACATCTTTCTACGTTTGTCACTACCAAATGTGCGGTGGTGGGGCCAAGGAATTAAAAGTCATCTAACAAACAAACAAACAAACTTCACTAAATGTCGGGCTTTAGTGACGTTAAACAAATATGCTTTCCAGTGGGGTTTTCAACTGGAATTTGATACAGGCGTATACATTTACGTTTAAGTCTGCATAATTATGTGTTTAGGCGGTCGTCTTGTTTCTCAAGCAATTTGTCTTTCCTGTCTGTTTAGACACGTTTTCATGGTGTGCCACAATGATTCGTAAGAGGGCCACTACAAAACTAAACCCCGTGAAAACTCAGCGAAGGCTGAATCAACAGTACAGACTGACCCAAATACGTTAAATACACGAGGCTAATATTTAGTCAGGGGAGTGACCCAGCCAGGGAGCAGGGAAACAGTTTTACTCGCAAGGTGCAGAACGAAGCCTGCCTGGAGTCCCACTGCAGTACAATAGACAGCTGCAAGGAGGTCCATAATCCACGAAACAACATAAGCTTCTCACCTGTGAGACGAAATGGCCGACAACGTTAACGTTATATTAGGGATCTAATGCTGATCTGCCATGGAGTCACTCCAATCTGAAATGATGCCGTATACACCCTTTCCGCTTTATACATTTTTGGCAGTGGTCTGGGGACCACTGCCAAACGACCACATATTTGACAGAATCTTTTCACGTTTTGCCCGTATTGGCGTCTTTTAAATAAAGATTTTTACATCGTGCATCATACTACGGTTATGAAACCGAGGATCGCACACGTCCAATGTTAGTCGCTCAAAGGTCGCTCAGCGATCACCGTCCAAGGGAAAGGTGCCATACCTGTCTATCATGTCCACGGACGCATGCATCCTGTCTACTCACCTAGCCTGGGGCAGTATTCAAGTTAAGTACATGATATCAAAGTCTCATATCTGGCACGAGAGGCCATGTGTGAGGTTGGTAAACATCACAGGTTGTCACTGAGTGTAGCCTAGTGTGAAATTTACCCTTTTCTGTGCATTTAAAGAATTTGCAGTGACTTTAAAGATGGGTGTAGTTCTAGGTTACACCCTGAACATATTGGGAAACGTTACAATGCAATGTATGATAGATCGCGGTCGTCTTAGCCAATGAAAATGTAACACGTGGTCGAGAAACCTACGCTGGTCGCAGTCGCGCTAGTCAGGTGGGGCGGAGAACAAGCGGAATATGCTCTCTCTCCCATAGAGCTGTAAGGTCGCAGAGACAGTGGGTTATATATGATAGTCCAACATATTGGCAGATCCCTCTTCTTCCACCGCCTTTTACCTCCCAAACCGAAGTCTGGTACCCATACCATTTTGTATGGCCTTTGTTAGCATACGACTGCCCAGTGTGGCACACAGGTCTCTCTACCTCACAGTCAAGGTACATAGAAGCAGTTCAAAGGAGGGCATGCAGGATCATCCCATCCTCCCGAGGCAGAGGTGCTTCCGTATCCCAAGGCTAACTAACGCGGGATAGCTCTGCCGTGGAAGAATGGATAATCCTAGGCAAAAACTATGTTAGTTACGACAGAGCAATAGAGCATATCACTTACACCCTTGTACCTGAGACGCCGTAAACTCTGTGTGAACTTTGCAATGTCTACAGCTCCCCCAAATCCCCCAACTTCTCTAGTTGGCTGCCTCCTAAATGTGGAAGCCTACATGGCAGAGATCTGAGATCAAAAGACAACTTTACGCAGTTTAGCTGTAGTACGTCTAGGTTTAAGAATAGTGTTTTACCTTTCATTGTCGTATTGCTAAACTATTCATGATAAATTTTAATATCATACCCCAATTCAGCCATGTAAGGCTGCAATGGTATGTGTGTTGTATAGATAAACCAGTTCATCATCATCATTCTTGAGTGGAGTGGAACACTGGCAAGTGATCGGGCTGACTGGCGGTGGTGCCAAGCAGGCATTATAACCTGCCCTTTGAACGATTAACTTCAACTTGGACTTTGGAATAAATTGATTTTAAGCTCAAATTTAATTTGTAAAGAAATTTGGAACTGTGCCATCCAGTTGTCGCGCAGTTAAATCATGCTGTAGTCTTTTGAGACCGTAGTAACAGAGAGATGGGGGAGTGAGGGAAGTCATAGCTCCTTGCACATGGTCCATGTCATGTGGGTGCGCCTCCTGCACGGCATTACGACCTCACTAGTGTTGCCACACAGTTTTTAACCATTGATGTTTTTGTAAATAATGTATTACATGTGTATATACCTTGAAATTGCATTGTACAGTTTTTTTTAATGTTTAATGTATTATACTTGATGTTGATGTACAATATTTGATGTTAATGTTGTTCATTACTGCAATTTGGTTTGTATTTAATTATGTAATCTGCTTTTATATTCTGTATGTTGTGTTTGGGAGGACAACTTGTAAAGGTGTCAATGCACCTGTTTTGTCCTCCCTTCCACTTGTATATCTTGTGGTGAATTCAAATAACAAATAGCTAAAAGTGCCCTTCCTAAGAACACAACGTCTAGCAGGAATGCTAGGAATGAGCCTTGATCTCGTGAACTCTCGATCTCGTGTCCGTCCGACAAGCCACCAACCCGACCATTTGATGCCAAAATAAACACAACTACGAGTTGGTAAAAAAAAAACTCGCGCAGGTGGTAAAAGAATTCTGCCGCAGCTATTGACAATAATCTTTACTGCATATCCCTGCCATAAAGAGCCAAATGTAATATTCTAAATATTAAAAATAGGTCACTAAGTCATTTGCGCAACGAACAGCTAGAACAAAGTCTACCTGGTATTGTAGATTAGATTGTTGTAGAGTACCTCTCATCGGGATTAACATGGATTCTTTACATTGTGTAGTGATAAAACTTTGTTCTTAAAAGGTACTCATACAGGAGACTTAATGATACAATCCACCTTTTGTGTGCATGTCGAGGATCTAACATGCTACACATCATTGAAAACTCACATAGCAGACGTGACACGTGCTCAAACTAATCACCAGTCTAACCGCCACTGAATGGAACATGTCCAGCATATCCTCAGTTTGATACTGCTAACATCATTTTCTGCAAATAGACACAAACTTGGTCCTTTCAGGTTCATGATGAAGAAACTAACGCTCTCGTCACGCTTATACTAACTTGTTATGGTGTAGCAATACAGGCTACCGCACACAAAGACAAAGTCTCACCCATAGTTCTCTCCCGGTGCAAGCGGGGAAGTTTCCGTACTTCCGTCTTCAGCCGGCAGTGACATCATAGATCTCAAGTTCAGCAGCTTAACTGTTGTACCAAGGAGTTTCAGTCATTCACGTCTTGAGGTAGAGAGGACAACACCAACGTCCAGCTGTAGACAATAGACAGTCCAGGTTTCAGGCTGTGGCTTCAATAGCTTACCTTATGTCAACAAACGGTCACATATTTCCTACCGGCAAATTACTGAGCTACCACCAGGCTTAAGTAAATCATGTCTATAAGCAATGTAGTTCTTCAAGGCTGCTTGTTGGAAGGAATGCAGACTATTACATGCGAATACATGAAGTCTCCAGGCAGCGCCTCATACTGTTTATGTACGTGTTGCTTCTTCCGGGGAACGAGTCAATGCGCTACAAACCATTGACCCATACATGTGATTGAACCTCCTTGGTCTGAGCAAGTCAAGGTGTGGCTCGGTCGACTTTTTTTTTAGTTTTTACTGTGTTTTTATTCGTGCATCTATCCATTGATATATCTCTCGACTTGATGCATTGCCTTGTAATAATAAAGCTTATGATAATAGATAAACCTGGAGTTCACACATTTTATCTGCTATTTCCAAAACTTAAAACATACGGTTTTTCCTCGCTGTGCTTTTGATGTTCTCGTTGTTCTCGTTCTCAGGTGTCGACTCTCGTTCCCTGCTTGATGAAATCTCGCGAGAAGCGACGTGAGTTGGATCATCGAGCACCAAAAAAATCCAAGATGGAGTTCTTGTCGAAGATTGTCCGTGTGCATGTTCCAAATTACCTAAACTCTGTTCCTGTCCCGGACAGCTTCGGCGGCTTCTTGGACCTAACAGGTAGCCTTGATGGGTTCTCTATATAATGCAACTAAAACGGCGGGCTTTGCTTTTTACATTTTCCTGCTGTAATGCAGCTACAAAACCAACCTTCGACCCGTGTCCTTACCGACAAGTGATTAGGTCACGCCCCCCTCCCACTCAACACGAAAATTCCAACATAACTGATGCACTTTTTCATCTCCTTCTTATGTCATATGATTAAGGATAGTTGGTGTCAATTAAGTGAAGACAACTTGTGTGTTATCATCGTTGAATGTAGAATTCAAAGACGGAATTGCACTTAACATGAATATTATTAAAATATGGGGGGGAGGGCTAGGTAGAGTGCTCTATACAAATTTGGCAGCCATAGACAGCTAAACCTTTCTTTGAAGGCACATGTATGATTACTCTTCACATTCCCTGACAAATATGTTTTGCCGTCCTACAAATGTCAGTCAAATTTTAATAGCACTTCACAGTATTGATGGTATGTAGTGGAAGAGGGAGAGAGAAACACGTGGACTAGTAGAACTAGGTAATGTTATATTGTTAAAGCATGAAAAGACATACATAACACTGGTCAGTGCCCTTCACTTGTTTTCAGATTAGCAATGTTGTTTAGAGTGCTGTGTTGTGTCCTGTATTAGCTGGACAATGGCTGCACCTGTTTGCGTTCAGTGGTACTGTGGCAGCGGCAGTGTACATGTCCCTGAAGCCATACATGGACAAAAAGGATCAGAAGGACCAGCTGGTTAATCTGTGAGTTCTAATACTTTGAAGCTAGAACTTTCTATTTTTTCCTTGCTGCCTTTACTCTTCAGAACACTAGACCAGTTTCTGGTGTAGTTCATCGTAAACTGGTCTGTTGGGGTAAAATGCATCCAAGTGCTCGTACCATACTATTTATGCATGGAACATTTTTCTCTCTGTATGAAACGGAGTCAAACTAACTTTATTCCAGTTTTCTCTTCTTGCCTTTGTTTATCTACTAGAGTGTAAATTATACCCTGTTGTATTGCATCCTGCAGTCGTATCCAGAAGGAAAGCAGTAAGGTTGTGAACATGGCAGATATTGAGGACCTGGGAAACAAAGTCTGCTACTGTCGCTGCTGGAGGTCCAAGAAGGTGATAAGAAATATTTTACTTTATGTTTCCTTCCTGTCTCACTGACTTATAAAGGGGACATGGCTGATGAAGGAGTATCAGACTGTTGTGGCTCATTAAAAATGTTTCTCCTTTGGAACTTCGTTGTCTCAATCCTGTTTTGTCAATGTGATTTACTTTCAAACAAACTTTAAATACACCTAACTTTGGCTCTTTTATACCGAGGTCAGTGAGTGTTAATTCAGAACTGGAGATATAATTTTCTTTCTAGTTAGTGTATTTCCCAAATCCTGTATTGTCCTTGTATGAAGAGCTAGTCCTTTGTAATAGCCATTGACTAGTTAGACAGCTGAACCGATACAGTGAACGTTCCATTCTTGGTAGTTTCTGTAGTTAGAACTCGCAGCTCTCCCATATAGAGACAGTAAGAGTTTGTGTTACACATTGTTTCATGCTCCCACAATGTCTTTCTGCTCCAGTTCCCCCTGTGTGACGGTTCCCATGCCAAGCACAACGAGGACACGGGAGACAACGTGGGACCTCTGGTGCTGAAGAGGAAGGATGTATAGTCCTGCTGTGGCCACGCCCTGCTGCCACACCCCATGACCTGATGCCACGCCCTCAGGACCTGCTGCCACGCCCTCCTGCCACGCCCTCCTGTGGCCATGCCTGTAGATTTCATAGCAATAACTACATTGGGATCATTGGACAGAATTTCACTAACAATCTCAATCAGTTTCACTGTAAACATACCCTTGTCTCAGTTTTGTGCTGGTAACCATGACCTACATTTTGGTGTCATTGGACGTAGAATGGCACCATTCATATTCAGTCAAGATAGAAATAAATTTGAAAAAAATTGAACAGTTTGGTTTGAGCTGCTATTGCTTGGCTACCCTTGTCTTCCCTACTAGTATTTCTTCACAATCATTTTTATTATACAGTATTAATCTTAACATATAATAACTGTGAGTATGATGGTGCATATCTGTACCACAACTCTTCATGTTGAAAACCTGAAAGATTTATCTAATGGTGAACATAAGGTTATAATGCATGAAACGCTTAATGTACTAACGAAGGTCTAGATATCAATTATTAAGGAAGATTTTGATTTTATGTTTGATATTCATGAAGACGTTTTTCTTGTGAAAATAATTTCAGAAGAACTAGTTTTAGATATTATGTACAAGAATGTACACCACTCTCTGGCCAATTCTTTTTGAAAACATTCTCAGGTGCTTTATGAATCACAAAATAGGAAAGGAAAATTATTTAGCATCATACTTTCTGTATCTTGAAAAATAGAGGAATAATGAATAGGTGTGTGTGTTGTTGGTGTCTTTGTCTTATATCACAAGCAAAGAGCTTTTCATACTTTTTGTGGCAATCCCTTACTTGAGTATTACTAGTATATTTGCATGTATTATAATTCAGTTTGCAGGTTTACAAAATAATCTGTTGCAGAAGGAATACATTTGTACTATTTCTATGAACATTGCCTGCTACTGCTATGTGTAGTTGAACTTAATAGCAAAAGTATATATTTCACAAACTGTCCTGTTCTTTGTAAGGATTGTTCGAGCAAATTTTTGTTTCAGCTATTCAGCCATTCTATTTGTTTGTGTTTGGGAAGAAACTGTCAATGGTGTGCTGGTGATGTACAGATGAGCATGTACCAGAATAACATTGTGGGATTAAAATGGAGAGAATGGTTCTGACATTGTTTGTTATTTTTTATTCATTTATTTGTGTAGGTACATGTAGTTTTTGCCTCTGGGATTGCACGCAAGTTCACAGACAAACCCACCCAAAACAATATTTCTGTATCCAGACTCTGTGAGTAGAGGGTTCTTACTATACCCAATGATACAACAAAGTCGGCATTTGAGACCAAAATGCTATGTCAGTATTTTTCAGCCAGAGACCACGTAGAACTCCGAAGTCCACATTTACAGGTCTCACGGATTGAATCAACCGCGCTAGGTAAATAAACCAATACAGGATCGGTCGTCATTATGGTACGACACTCTTAACAAATGTTTATTATGTTTACCGTATTTCAGAGCCTTCGGGGAACACTATTATCGGAAAATTATGATCGTTTTAGTCAGTGTTACATCAATGAGGTTGAGCGCTTATCACCTACTTTACAATTTTATTATAATCCGCAGGGTGTCGCTGCATCAGCCACTCAGTGCACTTTGCCCTCACCTAACCAAGGAGTAACCTCCTTGAGCAAATAGGGAGGGGCAAGATAAATATAGTTTAAGTAAAGAGACATTGAGTCTTCGAACAATGAATACATAGCATTAAAAACTTTTTTGATAACTTTTTATGCTAGTAGTTATCGGTTTTTGACCTTTATACAGATTGAATACTCGTATATAACTATGAATATGCCCCGGAATGGACCTAGTGGTATCGCCCAAACCACTGATCACGTTCGCTTCACGTGCACACCAGGGTGGGTGCAACCCGACCTCGTGTAAATAACAACAATACGTAACAGTCTTCCCCACCAGAACAGATTCATTACGGACTGCCACCCCCTCAAGTGCGCCAGGCACAAGGCAGGGGCGGTGACCGTGTACCAACAGGACGGGACGCAGTTCTACTCACGTAATCGCTGGTGCGTGGTCAACGCACAATCCCCGACCGTTTTTGTAAGAAAACTGCGACAACCTTGTCAGGTGAGTGTAAGCCTTGTAAAGTTAAGACGTCCTATGAATAGAGTAAAACCGGTAACAATCGACTTCATCGATTTTGTTTCCTCTCGCTACACTTCCTGTTGACTCAGTTGAGCACATGTCATATTTCTCTCAGTTTGGTGCCTATATGCTAGCGAGTTTGTAGTGAGGATGTAGCAAAACTTTGATAAGATCAAGGACATTCTGTATACTATAATGTCCTTGATAAGAGAGAGAGTGCAAAACTACAAGACAGACACCTCTGGCTACTGTACAAGACGCAGGGAATGCCATCTCCCCAGAAGAAGCCGTAGTAAAGTTCACACATGCACACCTTTCCTATACTTTATCATATTCTAAACAAAATGAGTACACTGTACTTGTACTAAGTTGTAGCGTTACATGTATATTGTAGCTGTGTTGTGTTGTGTTGTGTTGATTTTTAGTCTCTTTTTAGTCTACTCTACTCTTTTAAAAGCTTCTTTTACGTGGCTGCAGGTAATTTCACCCTCCTCCAAGTAAAAGTCATATTAATAAGATCCTAGTTGAGCGGAAGAGAAACCGCCCAATCCACGATTGACTGGTATTAAAACAGGCTAAGTTATGAACTGAAAAGTGTTCTTCTTTTTCCTTCGTCCTGGTTTTTAATTAAACCCCACGCCGTGCCTAATTTATAGGTGATTAGTTCCCGTTCACCTTTACATAATGCCGGCCTTCAAGAGCTATTCACATTCCTCAACCCATTCTTCAACATGAGGATTAAATAGTTCAATGTAGGTCACCAGTCAATACATGCTACAGGCTTCAGAAAGAAGCGGCACATAATACAGCTGAGAATCCATTGTACGTCCGTGAATGGCAGAGTGCAGTGTTGGTGGTGATTCCCACGCCAACTATCCCCCACCCCCTGCCAGGTTCACCCAACTTGGGGGACATTCCAATCTCAGCAAACCTGCATGTCGTCAAGATCTCCATAGATTAGAACCGCATTTATATATTTGACAGGGGACTTGTAGAAATTTGTAGCTGGTGCGCAAACGTAATCAATTCGCTAAAAAGAATAATAGAATCTGACATCAGCAAAATTACGAAAGTAACTTCCTTCTCTATTTATGCCGAAACTTTGCATTTTGTATTTGGCTGTATCTCAGCCTTGGAATTAAACCAAATTGAGTTGAACTGAATTTTGTAAGGAAAGATTTTGAAGTGACCTGGACGATCCCTGGATGATAACAACCACCTGTTTTACATAGGAGTTGATGGACGATCCGCTACGGTTGCCCTTTGATATGGGGGAGTTTTGTTTACTGTCAACCTTTTAATTGAATGAAATTAATGATTATCGTTTCCTCAAATCACAGATAGCGCAAAGTGCGAATGACCACTTCGTTTGCTTATTACCTCCCACTTATATAAAGCGCTACAACACCTTAGATATATTTGTGACGTTCGCGAAAGAACCAATATGTGCTTATGTGTCATTGCTTGACCCTGGACTATTTTGTCTGTCAGTTTGTGTTGACGAATTCCTCTGCATCCATTGAAATTATAACCTTGGGTTCCAAAAACAAAATTCTTTTACGGTGCAGATACAGAGACAAAGGAACGTGATCACATAAAGTCTGCCAACAATTACAAGGGCCAAGTTCGATTTAAGGATCAGTAGTTCGACCATGGTGCCTGAACACGCCTACACAAATTCCTTCAGTATTAAACATGTCTTCCCAGTCATATCGCATAAGTCATTCTAGTTCACTCCCGTGAATCCGATATCAGTTGTCACAAAGGTTCCGCCATGGTTCTAGTGATTCAACGCCGCATTCCATGGGTGTGTTTAAACTTCAAGGCTGAATAGTCATGGAGAGAGTACTGTTACGCGTAAGGGCTATAGACCGATCCTAACTGTCCGTCACAATTACCAGTTCAAATAAAGATAGCGGTTCATACAATGAGAGTGGCTACGCACGTCCGTTAATATAAAAGTATTTCCAGCACTTTTTCATGGAAACTGCAATAGTTCGTGAAGCTTTGTAGCAGCTTTTCAGGCTCACTGGATCGGAAATCATCCATCCTTCTGGATTCAAACAGGAGCAGCTACCATGTCGGACAGTCCGCGGCAACACTGACAAAACACCTGTAAACATGTTGACAGGACGTGACTATCGGCTCTCTCTCTACAGTTACACAAAAATACTAGTATTCAATTACATCTATCACTACAATGGTAGATCACCTTTCTTAACTTATAACACACCTGCATTCCTCATCCACCCAACTACTATTACTAAACCTAGGCCTTATCGTGAAAAAGAAAAGAACGGGGGAATGTTGTGTTTGCAGGTTTGAAAGTGTTTGTTTAGAGATGAAAGGTAGTTTGGTTCAATGGCAAGCGAGAAAGGAACTGTGGCAGACAGTTTGTACATAGAAGCCGCTGAATGTTTTGACTCATGAAAGGCCTCCTTTGGTTTATTACATTAGATACGGCATTGATGTAATTGTAGGAAGTTGATAGACAGTAATATAAAGTGCATTTGAAATTGTCACGGATTCCTGTTTCATGGTATTTCATAGTACAGAACTTGCGTACATGAAAGATTTTGCCATGAGCTAACGTAACAATGGTCTGTGTTTGTTGGATAACCAATGTAAATGCGTCACAAGGTAACACAAGGTCCGTTCGGTCAGACTTCAGCCAACCTCAGCAGCCCCCCTCCCCAATGAGTTTCGTTTGTTTCCTCTCATGACGTCAGTCTGTCCGTGAATATTGGAAAGTTCTCGTCCTCCGATTCGAACACTTGTCGCAACCCAAATGTGTCAAACGGTCACGCGTCTACAGGCAAACTACGGCGCCCTCTGCTCTCATCCAGGCCCTCCAAACACATCTCACGTCAAAGCTATGTCAGATGTGTGGGTAAACACTCGGGTGTAGGCCACTCCATACAGCACCTGTCATGTAAGAGGCGGGAACACCCATCCTCCACCTTTCACACACAACACTACAAATCTACAGGCCACTAGCTGCATACATGGTCGCGCCTGCATGACGACTTCAATACTCTCCAAATAGACTTATATAACGGCTATTTCATTCTGCGTCAGAGCCTGAAGTAATAATAACTACGCAATTTGAGAGGAATTTATTCCAAAGGGTTCGGAGTACAGGTACACAGTGCGTTCATGTCAGCTCGTTTCCTTACCTATAAAGCTTGTACGTCACGATATCTGCTGTTATGTGGGTCTTGGACTGGCTGTTCTTCAATTAATTTGTCTATTTTGTGTTTTTCTGACAGGTATCTTTGACGATTGGAGTAGCTGTTATCGTAGTCATTCCGTTTGAGCTGTTGGAAACCTTAAATTCACGACCTGCACCTCGAACTGTGAACAAGGAATATTTCAGCTCCTTGTCAGACATCCCACCACCACCACCGAGTGACCATGAGTCTGCTGGAGAAACTTTTCCACCTCAGAGGCCTGACGGGAAACCGGCCTGCCATCGACCAGCACGGCCTGTTCACCAGCATTCAGATGAGCAAGAAACTGTTGTCCGAAAAACTCGCGGTGAAGGAGCCGTGGCGGCAAAACAAGAAGCCGCATCAGTGCAGAGTCTGTCTGTACACCAACGACTCCAGTCCGTTCGTGGTTTGTTACGATACTTCCGGGCACAAACCCAGGGCAAGGATTGAGCTATTCGGGACCAAGGTGGTCACCTGCGGTGAAAACTCTTTCAAATTGTGCAACGAGGAAGGTTCTGATGTGTACTTCTTCGAGACAGACGGGAGGTTGAAAAGGGACGAGTGGGTGAAGGCTCTGAGGGAGCAGTGCGAGAGAGAGCTCAGTCCGGACGGAGAGGAGTCCGTTCGCCTCAGCAAAAAGATCATGGAGGTCCGACAGCGCGTCAAGTCGCAAAAAATGGCGGAGCTCGAGAACAACAACAACAACAGTAAGCCGCTTAAGACATTACCGGTCACTCCAGAGGATGGAAGACAAAGAAGCGTACCGCACTTGAAGAAAAACGCCAGACTTGCTAAGCGGAGGCCGCACATAGAAAAGGCTAAGAAAGAAGCTGCACTAGCAGCCAAAAGCTTGCCTCTGTCGGAGTATTTCGTGAGCGTGCCTGACTCGTAAGAGTTCAATGAACCCTCTTTAAGTTAGGCGTAGCCGTATTAGAGGCCTGACTATTTCGCATATACCGATGGCAAATAACAATGCAGTACATACTCACACACTACGCGTATGTTAGGAAAGCGTATCGCTAACGTTAATATTAAACGAACAAGACAATGCAACTTTTTTTACATGTATAGCACGTATCTAAACCATGTTACAGGAAGATTATCCAAACCGTTAACAACGTCAGTCACTGACATTTCTATTCACAAAGCTGTATTTATCGAATGTATAAATCGATGTCTAATCAATGTGGAGAAAATTAACCGAGGCAATAAACTGACTGTGGACTGCACAGAATATTAACAACCCGCAATTTGTGATTGTTTCCTGTTAAGTCATAACAGTCTCTCCTGGGTACTTAGTATAACATCTATATATAAACTCACCATTTACGACGTAGGCATCACATACAACAGGTGGTTTGACCAACTCGGTAATAAAATACCGAAGTCAACAGCGACCTCTACCGACTTTTGATAGATCGTGTCTGAATTCTACAATGCAGTCAACGCCCCGTCTTCTGACTCAGAAGATACATGTACATGTGTACTTGGGGTTGATACGTGTAATCTCTGATAATTACGATCATTTGCGACTTCCTGTTTACTAATTATACTACGCCATATATACGTGGCAAGAAGTTCCCGTGCCAAGCAGTTCTGCGTAATATATATATATATATCATGTGCTTCTTTGAATTGGAGTCCGTCGTGCTTCTTTAGAATGTAGCAAACGATATTGTTGGTACGTTCTACTACTAATAGTCATATGATAAACACAATATATTTGTACAAATGAGAGTAATACGTATAATATAAAATATAAAGAATATCAACAACAAAATGCCAAACGTCGTCACAGGTCAGAGAACCGGTCAGACCAGTTTTCTCGAGGTCAACCAATCTTACAATCTCACCTGGGGGATTCTGATATCCCTGTTCACACGAGTTTACAACCAGGTTTGTCTAAAAGGTGCCAGGCGCAAATCAAACTACATATAGTACTAATCCTTCTTTTGTACATTGTTTACGTCGTAGAAAAAAATAGTCCGTGATTAAAAAAAAAATCGAAAACAGTCGACGGCTAAACTCCATACAGACCCTTCGGCAAAGATAGTCTAATCGCACCCTAGAGGCAAAACCAAGCCAGCCATACGTCGAGAAAGGTGTTCAGCCATTCAAATTATGGACATTTTCGTAACATGAGCTAGATCTGTATGATAATTCAGAATGCTGCGGTTTCTGAAAAGACGAAGTCGACATCTGCGGAAGGCCGGGGCTTTCCTGTCCATGTTCCTGGCGACAGCCATGGTTATTTCACTGAGGGATGAACTGGTGACAATCGCTGGTGGTCCGATCAGGTTAGTACACAAAAACACAGATATTTGGTATTTTGGTTGTGGAATCTTCTAGTAATTATCGCTAATGAATACTAGCATGCAGAGGCGCTACGTCGGTATACAATCTTAGGGGACACTGTGTGCTTTGGTATCCACATATTTGTATTCTCTACAAGAGAAAGTTTAGCAACGTAAGGATATATTTATGACTTATCACTGGTAGCCTTGACACGTTGACAAGCCGCTGCAATTCATATTATGGATGATAGACGTCGCTCACGCTGACATTTAGATATTGCTCCACGCCGTTCCCAAAGAATATTACTCACATCCAACCAAAATATATTTGACATGGTCGACTATGTTGTCCAGTCCACAGTGTTGTGAATAAACGCGGCATTTTCTTATCATGTTCCACTGACTGAGAGCACACTTACAGTGTATGAATTATTGATCTCTTTAGAGCTGGCTTCTTCCCCGGGAGACATCCCGTGTCGTGACCGTCCCCTATATAACGTTAACGACATCGGCGAATTTTCCTCGTGTAGGTTTTAGAAATCTTAGCTGGGAGCATGCTGGAAAAGAAATAAATATTACACATCATTTTCGAGTTTTAAACAATCTAACTCCAGAAGTACCTTTACAGTGCGAAAGGACAAAGGCTACATCATACATGGTTCACCAAGTTACAACAAAAGTCTCTTCTTGTTCCAGGCACAGTTACGAAAAGGGTGTGAGTGAGTGAGTGAGTGAGTGAGTGAGTGAGTGAGTGAGTGAGTGGGTGAGTGAGTGAGTGAGTGAGTGAGTGAGTGAGTGAGTGAGTGAAAGAAAGAGTGTATTGTATAATTATTTGAAGACCTTGTTTAACCTTTACGTATGTTTACCATGGTATGTAGGCGTTTACCATACATTTTCGAATGATTAAATCTATTCCATTTCAAAATATAGATCCAGACAAGAAATTTTAGATTTGCGCCACCAGAACGCACCCAGACCTTCGGAGGAGTCTGCCTACGACCACCTTCATCACATAGCCTGGATCATCAGCCACGACCACTTCACAGACGACCACAACTCCATAGAACTCCTTCAAAATATCGTCAAACAAATCCTGGTCAACAAGGACAAACCGGAAAGTCAGACATTGCAGACAATCGCAAAACTGTTCAATTTCACAGACGACGACTTGCACATAGAAGGCGTGACGCTGAGTGAAGTGATCGCGTTGATCAGTGAGGGGGTGGAGGTGGGGGAAAACTATGACATCACGGTGGACAGACTAGAGAGGGTCCTGAGGGAAGGCACGGAGTACGAGGAGGATGTTGGTGACGTCATTTCCGGCCAATTTTTGGGTCACATCTTGCCAAAGGTTGACAAGAGATGGAGATATCACGACCAGTCGTTTGCAAAGGATCCTAACCGCAAACCGTCGGTAAGGTAGATTTTTTTAGGATTGACAGTGCGATCTAAGTTTCGGTGTATTGTAAATTGACTTGTTCATTTCGGTATCGTTAATGTTTCAGAAGTGTAAAAAGTGTAGAAATTTGATTATTAGACCTAGACAGTTATTACAATGATTTCATGATGTTCACATTTTTCTTGCCCCGCCCATCGATAGAGGTGTCCTTCCAGTCTGCGTCACAAGGGGGCGTCCTCCTCCTGGTTTAACGGCAGGTTCAGGGATGACGTCAAGGTGTTTGCAGACAAGGACGATCTCGAAGAGGAAAACTACAAAAAGCTGTGCGAAAGATTCCCGTTGCCGTTTGGTTACAAGAAGGAAAATAAAACTTGTGAGTCGTACAGGTATTTGATTACATAATGCTTCAACAGCCTCGTTAGCGCAGTAGGCAGCGCGTCAGTCTCATAATCTGAAGGCCGTGAGTTCGATCCTCACACGGGGCAAGGTTTTTTTTCGTTTCATTTAATTTTTTATGCAAAAGTGGATGTAAACGGATCCTATAGAGTTAAAATGTGTAAAGGTTGCAAAGGGTACCTGGGCCCTGCTGGCTCAGGTCTATCACAATTATCAGCCTGAGTTCAACGGTCAACCAATGAGAGAGTGGCTACAAGTCCGTCAAATACGTATACTTGCATTTCTATGTTTAATGGCGCTTTACCCACGTGTTAACCTATGTGTGTGCCCTTTTTCAGTTCTTGAGCAGATTTTGAACACAATCACGACTCCGGATGTGTTTGGGGAGCCGAGGAAAGACTGTATCCGCTGCGCAGTGGTGGGGACAGGAGGGCAGATGAAGGGGTCGGGAAAAGGGAAGGAGATAGACGCACACGACTACGTCTTCAGGTAGGCATTGTAGTCATGTTCGTACCGGTAGATGCTCTACATACAATTGTTGTGCAATAAAGTTATCAAAAGCTGTTAAAAGTGAGCCGTTGCGAACTTACTTCTAGCGCTACTGGAAATGCACAATGCTTCAAACCTGAGTGGAGATTGACTACTTTATCTTTCTTGTGGACAGAGTGAATAACGCCCACACAGAAGAGAAGTACTCCGATGACGTGGGCAACAGGACGTCCTTCTACACATTCTACCCAGAATCCCAGAAAATACAACTCGTGGCCAAAGCGGTGAGGGTCATCTCCAAGCAGATACTGTCGAGTTTCGGCCGGGATTTTACGCCTGCTTTTTTCACATCTGCTTGGAGATACGTCATGTAGAAGTTATGGATTCACATTGCAACACTGCAACACATCATGTAGAAGTTATGGATTCATCCTGTCAAAAAAAGTAATTGTAACCAATTGAAGAAATGATCAATATTGTTGAAATAATTACAAAACAGATTTGCGTCTCGCTCACTCAAAACAGATTTGCGTCTCACTAAAAGTCCAGGAAACCAGAACAAAACAGCTCGACATAAAATATAACAAAACAGAACAAAACAAAACAACGTTCTGCTCTGGCTTTTCCAGAATCCAGTGCGAGTGTTCGCCCCCTTCAAGAAGTGGGACCTGCACTACCTGGCGAACAAGCTGCTGTACGGAAAGATCCCGCCGCCCTACTGCAAAAACATGTCCAAATGCTGGTAAGAATTCAGACTTCTGAGAACCTTTGCCTCATGTACGTGGTAATAAACACATAAACGGTCTCCTTGCCTTAGATGATAGTATGAATGGCCTCATCGACTACTGTATGTGACTAATAAAAGAAAATATTTTTGATTACAGGAAACCCAAAGAGCCAGATCTAAATGCAACCAACGTAAAAATGCTCCACCCAGATTTCATGCGTTACATCTACGCCAATTTTCTCAACGCCACAGGGGCGAGGCCGACTACGGGCGCCATGACTGCGTTCATAGCCATACAACTGTGTGACTACGTGGGCTTGTATGGGTATGGGTACGACACACGGTAAGACATGGCAATGATGGCACAGTCATTAGCATAAGGTCAAGTACCAGGAGGGGCCGGTGGCAAGGGCTCTCTATAGAAAATCTGTGCATTTGGCAGAGGTTTTGCAATTTGCAATGGCTGCAGAGATTGAGAACGATGCAAGAGGCTTGCAAATAGATAAAAGGGTTCAAGTTGGCAGAGGTTTGCAAAAGATTTAGCAGACGCTTGGGAAGGCTTGGCTTGATAATGGCTTTGGCAGAGGCGGTGGAGACGGTGTCGCATAATTCTTCGCAGCTATTGTCGTCTTGGGCTTTCGTAGTTACCAACCATTTCGTTGTCCCCATAGTAATTCGTCTATTTACTCCACAGTTACAACCTTCACTACTACGATAAGAACGCGTTCAACGCCAGCAAGCCCTGGCAGAACTTTACGACTTGTCACGACTATTCCAACGAGAGGGAAATGTGGAAACGGCTCAGTAAAGAAGGGATCATTTACTGGTTTCAAAGAGAATGACATGGAGCAAAAAATATTGATATGGAGCCAAGACTGTCGTTTTGGAGCTCGTTCTGGAAAACCCTTGTGATAACGATTTCTAGTTTATTCTGCCTTCTTCGTTAACTTTAGCGTGTATAGGCCATTCGTATGGAATGTGTAATTCATAATACTAGTAGTATAAAATCGGACAGGAAACATTTATGATTCTTTAGTTATATTGTTTTAACCGCTCTTCTATGCGATAAACCAGGTTCGCATGTAGTAATTTGGTTTTCTGAATCTTACAATAAAGCGTAATAAAATCCACCGGTACTATAGTTATACATATCTGTTCTACAAAGAGACAGCATGCTCCTATAAGGTACTAGTACTAAGATATTGCTCCAGTGGAGGTATAACAATTGGATTTTGTCATCAGTGAAAGGTATACTACAATGTAGGGTTGTCCAGCTATACGACCTTTCACGGTGCTTCCTACGCAATTTTAATTGTGACTATTGTAAAAACTGTGACTACTTGGGACACGTGGATGGCACGGTGAGGACCATGATGTTGACACCTATTAACAGGCTTGGCAGAGGCTAAAAGGCTTACCAGATGCTTGTAGAGGCTATAGTAGAGGTTTGTAGACTTTGGCAGATATTTATGAAGGCTTTAGCATATGTTCGCTGAAACTTTAAGTGAAAGGTTTTGGCAGATGCTTGTAAAAAGCAAACACCATGGCCGTATATGCTGTAAGCTAAATATTGCTACTAGTATGTGCTTTATCACTTTATCTCCCCTTCGTGCCACACCTCTCTGTACTGTTACAATGTTTGCGGTCTTGTAATGATGACTATTCTGTTTTAGCCACGAGTCAATGGGCGCCGCCATGTTGCTTTGTGACGTCATAGATCGGCCATCTTATAATTCTTCTCTTTCCTCATCAGTTACACCCTCCATTACTACGACAAGAACAAGTTCAACGTCAGCAAGCCGTGGAGAGGGGCCTGTCACGACTACAACAACGAGAGAGAGCTGTGGAAAAGACTCAGTCAAGAAGGAGTCATTAACTGGTTTCAACCAGACTGACAGCGAGTGAAATCCCATAGGATTGTTCATGATTATTTTATATTTATAAAAACATTTTACTAGAAAAATATTTAACTTCGCTAATTTGTTCCTTAATCCCGCAGCGTGACCATATGTTGTATATATGTGGAAGTAAGTGGTCCGTTAAACAAAACATTGTATCCATTACAGCTGTTGTGGAATAAAGTTTGAATTAGAATTGAACTTGATTAAATTGAATTATGAATCGCACGCACAGAATTCTACAATCTAGACTTGTAAGACACGTTTGCTTGTACATGTGAATAACAAATGTCAATTCCTGTAATTTTTTTATTTCAAATTCTACAATATCTATTCGTAATTTCTCATATTTCTTATGTTTATTTATTTTGAGGAATTTTTTTTAACCATACATAAAAGGCCAGTCCGTAGACGATTCATTCTAAAGGTCACAAATACAACATGTGATCTTTTCAATATTGACGCAAGCAGTACGATGGGTTCTTTTGTTTCAACTACGTCATTTTTGACCCATTTGCTGTAATTTGCTTGTAGAGTGGACAGACCGGTTCTCTCAGAGTAGCGCCGCTCCGGGCGAGAGGGTGTGAAAGGGTTTAATCAACACCTGGTTAACAATATTTATGAATTTTAGTCGAGATATCATCTTGAACAAATTTGTCAAACTAAAATGAAATAAATATCTTTTTATTTTGGGAATATTTCTTATTTGATGAAAAGTGATAAAAAAAGATAATTCCACCTTAGAACTATTGACGGAGAAAAAATAAGATCCTTAATCATCCATACATGGGATTACAGACCAAAACAATATGGAAGCCAGAGGCCGACAGAGGTCAAAATATCCTGAACAGTTTTCAGTCCTATCGAGTTAATTTTTTACATTCTGCGTGTTAAGACTGCTATCCACATGGGGATCCGACCGTTCAGAAAAACCAAAGTGCTGAAAACCGCGCTCTGGACAGGGGCAGCATTGGCACTGCTGTTTATAGTGTACGAAGAAGTGACGACGGCTGTCAGAGTACAGGAAAGGTACGTCACAATCTACAGCATATATCTGTCAGATTGTACGTATGGTGAATAGTGTCGATTCACCATATGTATCCATAGAAATTCATGAGTGTAAAATTAAGTAGACTTAAAAAGAGTGCTGCGGGTGGTTTTATCTTTATTTACAGTCGTATATAAATGTCCTTGCTACAATGTATGCAGACTGTAACAAAATCCTAGAAAATGCCATGCCGTTTTAGAAGTTTTGTATGGAAGCATTTTCAAGGATTGTTTACATTGCTGCTGAAAAAGACTTTCTGCAAGTTTATTCATATCTACATGCACTTGTCCACAAATAAGGTGTCAATTCGCCTAAAGAAATGTCCTTGGTCTAAAATACATGTTTAGACAACGGAGGGCGGCTTCGTTGTCTGCAGTTCTTCGCGATTAGCACAGATGACGCTGCGACACGGTCGTCTGTCTTGTTGCACATTCTATGAACGGTGTTAGGCGGGGCAGAGGCAAGATGAACTTTGAACGACGTTTGAAACTGATGGTTTTTCCTCCCCAGAAATTCGTTGTACTTCAACCTCCAACTTGTACACAGAGTCACCCCTCTCATTAAACAAACTGTCTTCGAAAATCTGCACCACCTGATCAAACTGATTGATCAAGACGACTTCGCTGTGAACAACCCTTCCGCCGAGCTTCTTGAAAATATCATCCAACACATAATCATCAGGAGGGGGGACACAGAGACAGCTATCCTACAGGGGATCACGCAGATGTTGAATGTGACGATAGATTCCCAGTTTCTGATTGGTGGACAGTTGGAAGACGTCATTAGCATCATCCACGAGGGGGTTGAAGTTGGAGAAAACTATGACGTCACCCTGGCCCGGGTGGAGAGGGTGCTGAGGGAGGGGACCGAGTACGACGAAGACATAGGTGACGTCATTTCCGATCGCGCTTTAGGTAACATTTTGCCACGGATTGACAGAACATGGCGGTTTCACGATTTGCCGTTCGCCAGAGACATCATGTACAAGTCGTCGGTGAGTATTACAGTCTCCAAGATATACATGTATCTTATGATAATCAGTGACGCCATCGCTGTGTCCGCCGCCATGTTGGTGTCCCTGTTTTTCAATGAATGTTTACAGCACAAAGAAAGAATACCAGAAGAATATCTTAAAACTGGGGGATGAAACACAAAAATACTGTGTACGCTTGAGCTACAATTCATTGACATGCAAACTGGGACACCAACATGGCGGTCCGCACCTGCATGGTTATTGATATTGAAAATGAGTGAAAACGCTCTATAGGAACTGGCAGGACTTTACATGTCAAATTACCAACCTTAATAGAGTTTGAATCTGTACGTATCAACTTCTCCTCAATTCCCATCTTACACCCCCGCTCGCACTAGGAATGCCCCTCAAGCCTCAGGAACCTAGTCATGACGTCATCTTGGTTAAACGGCCGTTTTAAAGAGGACGTGAAGTTGTTTATGGACAGGACTGACCTGGAAACAGAGAAATACAGTCACCTGGCTGCAAAATTCTCCCTGCCATTCGGGTACCGCAGGGAAAACAAAACATGTGAGTACAATATCGGACTGACATCTATACTTCATTCTTCGCATAACTCGGTCTATTGTTGGCCCCCACACGTCATTAAGACTAGGAACGTGAAGCAGACTGTGTAATTTTTGTTTCGATAGAAGAATTTCCAGCTCGTGATGCTGCGGAACTGAGTATCCATATCTACAGAACAGAGTTAGGTCTGTAGTGATAACATTTCAGCACCAAGGACATAAACAACGGATCACTTTGAGTGGTTGGTTTGAGACAGGCGTAGCGTGCGTAGCCCTGTGGTTAGTTACTCTGTACCAAAAGGTCGGGAGTTCGAATCCCAGCTGTTGTCGCTCACTGGACATGCACGCTAACTACTGGAAAGCGTCGCAGTCCTTAGGACATGGTCCACGGCTCGTTGTGAATTCCACTGGTACAGTGGAGTTAATTCTACCAATCAAAAATGGTCTATTTGTTGATGTGTTACAGTGGCGTCTATATTATATTAACTTTATTTCGTATGTCATTCTTTGCACAGGGGTAGAACAAATCCTGACTACTATAAGAAACCAGGACGTGTTCGGCGGACGTCGGAAGGATTGTGTTCGGTGTGCAGTGGTGGGGTCCGGAGGGCAGATGAAAGGGTCGGGAAAGGGAAAGGAGATAGACGCACATGACTACGTCTTCAGGTAAATACTAGCATGACATTTTTTAAAAATCAGATAACATACACAAGACTACAGTGTAAATCAAACAACTTCAGTACGTATCTACATATTCAGACGTTTCATATGTTGTCCACTGGCTTTCATCGGTGGCTGAATGAAATTCCTGTATTTTCTACGCAGAGTGAATAACGCCCATACGGAGGACAAGTATTTGGCGGACGTGGGCAACAGGACGTCCTTCTACGTCTTCTACCCGGAATCACAGAAAATCAGACACGTTACAAAAGCGGTAAATGTAAACTCGTTGTCATAGTAGATCTTCCTAACCTTTTCAAAGCGAAACGAAATTATTGCAGATCTTTCCTTTACAACAGGAAACATGTCACTGTCAATGTTTAAACTTTATGTACAGTTATGATTCTTTTTTTCTTATTCTTTGTCGGAATACTCCTCAGACATGCAAGAAAGAATGATTTACGTTGTTAAGGCTTAGTGTTGTGATTGAAAAAAATTGTATGTTCCCAGAATCCCTTGCGGCTGTACGTCCCGTTCAAGGGTTGGGACCTGATGTACCTGGCCGGCTGGCTCACGACAGGCTCTGTTCCAGGCGGGATGGGGTGTAAAGTCAAGAACCTTAACACATGCGAATGGTAGGACTCCTGGACATTCCTTTATTTGTTTGTTTATTTGTTTAGAGAGAAGAGCTCCTGATTTAGTCACAGGGGATTCTTTTTATTTTTTATTTTTAAAACGTGGTTACAAATGAGTAAAACAGGGATAGGATAGCAATTTTTGTTTCTTTGAGTCGTTTTGACACAACAACGTTATACATGTATAAACAGGCACACACGGGGGCCCGACCTAAACTCTACCAACGTGAAGATCGTCCATCCGGATTTCCTGCGCTACATCTACGCCAATTTCTTGAACGCCACCGGGCTGAGACCGACCACGGGCGCCATGACCGCCTTCCTGGCCATACAACTGTGTGACTATGTAGGCTTGTACGGGTATGGGTACGATCCACGGTGAGGGAAACATGCAAGTCTCTAGTGTTAAAGACAACTGCAAGTTCGAGTTTATGAAAAAAGACACATTAACGTTACACGACATTTATGTTTATGAGTGCTTTATGAGCTACATGTAATATATTCTGTAGCGCGTATGAACTGTTGAAGCATGGGTGCCGATGTTATTTGTACACAACCAACAACAAGTACCTACCATCTTTCGGTAGTCCTGTTACCTTGGTCGTGGCAATGAGGGGGGATACTAGCTTAGTCACGTGCACGTTTGGGGTTGCAATCCTTTTCATTGCAGTGCCACCTAGCGGAAGGAAGTATAACTAGTCGTTATTGCCCTGAGGAAGGTGGCAGTCATCAGGTGATTGCTATTGGTTGTGAATCCCAATATTCAATGATTCGCCAACCTGATGAAACCACTTGCAGTGTTTGAAACATTTTCATGTATATTTTGTTGAAGTAAGTTATATATATACATGTATTATCAGAGTGACTCTCTTTAATTTATTTTTTCTTGAATCTCGTTTGCAGGTTTACCCTGCACTATTATGACAAGACGAAGTTCAACGCCAGTCGGCCGTGGAGAGGCGCTTGTCACAATTTCGACAACGAGAGAGAGCTGTGGAAACGGCTACACGAAGAAAAGGTCATTTACTGGTACAAAAGAGATTGAACCAATAAACCTTTATTGAACGGCTGTCCGCTGAAGAACTTTAAGAAATAAAAATACTAAAATTCACTACACTCAGTCACTTTACTTAATGCGTGATAATGAATTTAAGTACGTCGAACGGAAACGAGATTTCTAACGTTAACTTATTTATTACCTTGCTCACAAAGTCGTTGACACTACTGTCACGTTACCAATATAAGTGTATTACTGAAAACAAGTTTTCCTATATCTGAATACAAATATAGATAGTGTTCCTATGATTTACCGCCAGATAAATAGTTAATACACATGTAACTGTTACAATGTTATATACACACACCAGACTCAGCAAAGAATGACGTGTTATTATACGCGTACCTGTTAGGTGGCGTCTTCAGTGGCCCAACCCTCTTGGCGTGAAATGCTGGGGCATTGACCTGCCATTAAAATGGTGACCTCAACAGGCCGGTCATCTCCAAAGAATGAAAAACGTTAACATCGATCAACAACCTCTATTGATGGGAGTATATTTGATATGTTTTCAAAATATCAAATTCGTTAAAACGTTTACTCCCCAAGCCCAAACACCTTTTACTTCCATGGTTTGTTTACCCTCTAGAAACCTCATAATCCCATGATAGTCATCACATGTCCTTGTCCTATATAGGCATGGAGCGTGATAGCTTTGTGATCTTTTCGTGAGAAATTCTAAAAGATCCAAAAGGATTCCGCCAAAAACACATCCTGGATGAGAAACGACAGGTGGTGTGAACCGCAAGGGCTTGTGGGAACAATAAGGAAGGTCATAGGGGTCAAATGCTGCGGGGACAAAACACGTGTCACGTGACTAAAGCCCAAGGCTCTGATTGGCTGACACATGTCAGGTTTGTTGTTCGCAGAAGTGGGCTTCACCAAATGCTGAAGCATCGTCTGATCCTTGCGTTTAGAAGTCTTGCCGGAAAACCGTCGCCTGTGAGACGTTTACCTGACCTACATCCTTAAACCCAGGTTCATAGAATACTGTAATTTGAGTTGAAGCGTTCCGGAGCGAGTGTTGGTGAGGTTTTGAGGCGGGAAAAGGTATTGTTTACATGTACGTGCGTGCGGGTCAGCACGCGCTAGAGAGGTCCCCTCCCACCCAAAGGTTCTGTCTGGTCCTGTCATAGCACATTCCTCCTCGTACCACGTCCATTGCCGCTGCCCTGGACCAACTCCAACGGCCTTTGGAGGTAAGTTCCTTTAATATAGATTCTGCATAAATCGTCTGACTGTAAGCGGTTTCAAAGAGGAAGGATAATAGAGCCGTATATCCCCTGTGGCAACCGCTCGTCTGTTTGTGCCACGGTTAGCAACATTCGGGGGTGGACGTTCAAATAGGTTCCGTGTAGGTCAGTAGTGCGGCCAAGACGGCAGTTCCTGTAATATGAGATGGTCTGTTATATATCTGCCTGTCTCAGAGGTAATTGAGATGTATGGAAACCCCTGACTTTGGGTGTCATTCGTGGGTCAAGGGTAAGGAAATGTGGCGGGGCCGAGTCTTGCTGATTTGCATGTGGGGAGGGCGGGGTGTTATTATGGTTACCTGTAACTAAATATTTGGATAAAATCAAGGACAAATCCTTTATACACCTTGATACAATAAATGAAGCCAAATAAAGTCGTTGGAGTTGTGTTATTTTGTTAAACTTAAAGTGTACTCTTTTTAATTGGAGAAAAATAATCGATTTGTGTTCTCCTCTTTTTGGTTTTTGCTAGTTTTAATTTTTTTACAGAATTTAAAAGTAGCTAACACTAACTTGTTACTAAAATTTGAAAACACTGTAACTAATCCAGTTGTTTAATTCCCTAACTAGTTGTTTCCTTTTTTCAAGAACTTGTGCATTGATAACTGAATGTATCTGTTAGTGTTAGATCAAAATTAGATGACAAGACTTCAGTTACATCATTAACTTGTATTTTATTACTTATCACCCATTTTCCATTTTTTCCATGCCTTGTTCCCTCCCACTCAATCTTGTTATCCTACGTTTAATTATAAAACTTTTTTCTAACCACCCCACCCCACCCAACCAGACCCTTACCATATTTGCCCCCACCCTCAAGGCCTAGCTCCCTGAGGTCACGGGTTCCACAAGTCCAGCACGACCTTACTGGCGGAGAAAAACTCCATCCATGATTCGCTTCAAGCTGCTGTCATGCAAATCCATCAAGCAGCCATAAGTTGGTTGTCAAGTCTTGCTGGGCCGACATAAAGGGAGAATACAACACCGGCAGCTACGACTACGACAAAGGTGCGTGTGGAAAAACTACCAGCTGACACATGTGGCTTTGCATTCAAAACCTTTTTCTATCTTGGAACAAAAACATTTGTGTAGCCTAAGAGTTTCTATCAAATTTGAGTTAGTTGCTGGAAATGATAAAACTTGAGACCTGCCACTGTTTCGTGGTAAGAATTAGGATGCAATAAAACTACATGGTAAAGTGCTGCATAATTAAGAAGAAAATTTTCTTTTTACCATGATTATTGATCTTCTTGTAGCTAGCTGCTGTCAGGGGATCTTGTATTTTGTAGAAAAGTCTAGATGCCAATTTGAAATATCAAATTACTGTCTCTCTGATTAGTACTGCTCTCTACCACATAGACTGTCCTGTAATTTTATGCAAATTACAGGGCAGTCATGGACACTGATTGCAATTTTCATCAGATGATAATTGTATGATCTTTGTTATTTGCCCTTGCAAATGTTGGTTTGATTTTCATTTGCTGATGAACCAGTGATGCAGACCTAAAAGTTCCCAGTGTCTTTAAAGTCATAAATATTTCTACTACTAGACTGAAGAGTTTAAAATAGAGATGTCATTAATAATGTACAATTCACATATATAAATTGTAGTTATGTGACTTGATGGATGTTTTGAAGCATTAAGGGAAGTGCATTATTATTGAATGTAACAAAATGTACATTCTCCTCAAGTGATGGCATAGGGTGTGGTGACATTTGTTGTAGGTTGTCATACGGTTTTGATGTTAGATATATATCATACATTTTGTATTTTCAAGCAGGCTTTGACAGAGTCAACTACAGACAAGGAAATGATACTGCTTTTTTGATACCAAGACAGCTGAATTTCATACATTACACCATGACTATCCTAAGATTGCGCTTACTTTGTGATTGTATAATGATTGTACAACAAATGTGATAGTATCCACAGTCAGTAGAGATGATTGAGATAAGAAATGTGGGACTTGTTTTCTTTAGAAGAGTAACACAGACTGTGATATTGATTTATTGGCATATTGGTGTCCATAATGCCTTGGGAATGTAGAAACGGCTTGAGTCGTCAATATGTTATGATACCGATCACAAATAATGATCTAAAGTAGGTCTTGAGGCGCAATATTCTACAGTGTTTCCATTGTTGATTTATAGAGATAAGGGGTCCACTAGAATCAGAGCCTTTCCAAAGGATTTGAGTTGGAGGACAGCCAAGCAGTCTGGCTTTGGCCCAAACCATGGGCATGTTTGTATATCCTCTCAGTGGTGCATTAACTTATAAATCAGATTCAGAACGATAAGGTAACAAAACAGCACTACATGAAAACAGATGGTAATATCCTGCAGACATAGGCTCCTGCCTTGGTAATGACATGAATTCCAATATATTTCTTATTTCACAGTGATTTTTTGAAAGCAAAGAAGGACGCAGCTGTGAAGTGATTCATATCATTCTTCATCTTGCCAATTTCAATAGTAACGGCAGAAAAGTCTCTTATATATAATACCTGATAGTACGCTGGTACATATGTACAATGGCCTGATGCATAGTACACTCAATCCTCAGGCCAATGTGACATCAGTCACAGCCTACAGAAACACTGGGTCATGTTCGAAGAGTGCCAAGTATGCCCTAAGGTAGCTACCTTAAGGTATTGTAGTATTGTTTGATGGTATCTGTCTGGTTAAAATGCATACATGTATGTACACATACATTCATCTTGTCTTTATTGATCATTGACGTTGATAGTATTTCACAGCCATGCAGTTGTGTTTCTTCTTGTTCTCTTCTAGGCACCGGGCAAATTGCCCATCCCCCTCCCCCCCTTTCCATCCCGTCCATAGCACACATCTCCAGCCTGCAGCTGAACTCCTCCAGGCCTCCCCACCCCTGTATGTACCCTGCTGCAACAGTGCTGCAGTGAAGGGCCATCTCCTCTCCGCTCCTCACCAGGAATGCCCTCAGTATTCAGCAGTGACAGTCCCAACGTTATGGCCAACAACAATGGCAACAATCTGGTAAGTCTGCCTGGCAATTTGTCAGTCGTATCAAGAACAGTTAGCTACATGTATCTTATCTGCCAATGTCCTCATACAATGTTGAAAAAATATTCAATGAAGTGTCTGAAATGCCATTTTTATACCGAAAAGGCTCGACAATTCATCTCCCACTGCCTTCAGAAAAGGGCTGTAGAAGCTCCAGTAGAACTAGATTTGGAATAGTTATTACGATCAACCTAGTAGAGTACACCATTACCAAATAAAATTTTTATTGAGTAGATGCAATTTCTTTATCACAATCCATAGTGTGGCATGTTATGGTCATTTCTTGTGTTCAGTCAACTGATTTGCCAATATCAGTGTTGTCAGGAGCTAAGTACACAAGAGAACAGTTTTACAATCAACTAAATTTGTGTCATAAAAATCATTGTAACATGTCCCGGTTGTTAGGCTTTTTGAATGTTTCCTTCTGTACTCTCAGAGATGCACATGATAAGTGCTGCAACACCCTGATAAGCTACCGGCACCTATTACATAAGGTTTTTACCCTCTCCTGTAGCTACCATGTCCAATTTGCCAGAGGCAGGACATGGTCCTGATTACTAATAAGATTCCCATTGGAAAAGCCACTACCAAGGCCATGATTTGCCCACCATGATTGCTTTTCCCAGCCATGTGTGACCTATTTCATAGACTGCGCTTGCCTGGACCTGCCTGCCTGCAATATCAGGTCATTGAACTGTGTGTGTGGAAGAGTAATACCGTAAAATCATAACAGTTACTATAGGGTGCAGAAGTATTGTTTTGGGTGCCAGATCTGTGGGTTTGTGTGTCCAAGTAGCAATGGGTCGGCGGTGATTTTGACAGTCGATAAGAAAGTCAAGCCTAAATGTAACACAGGTAGAAGCTGATTTGACCAAAAGTAAGGGCCTCCTACATGCATGTATGTGGAAGAATTCAGCAACTGGTATACCGGTAATACCTGATTACATCATTCAGTCCCAGTCATACTTCCAATACATTCATGTAAACCCAAAATTCTTCCCACAGGTCGGAAATGTCTGATTTCTTAAATGTCACTTAAATGTCATAACACAGTGAAAATCAATAGTTCACCGTTTCTTTGAGTTTGCAGTTGAAACAATCTTAGTAGTGTGATAAAGGAGAGAGCACAGAGCCCAAAATTGTCATTATCCTAGGAGGCAATTCAAAAGAAATTTATTTTCTTCAGCACAGTTTGCAATTGTAAAGAAAGTCATTATGTCAAAACAACATGCTCATTGATCAGCGAATGAAGGGAAAATCCTTTCAGCAATGTTTTTATTGCACCATTTGTTTACTTCATTGTTACTTAGATCTTGTTTGTTTTGTTGATAAACATCACTTAATTTTTGTTGCTGATGAAAACGTCAACAAATACTAGGGGACAGGTGTATTGACCAAGTGATCATGTTGGTTTGGCCTTGGTGTGACACAATAACTTGACTGGTCCAACATGAATGACATATTACCTTCATCATTTATTAATGATCTAGTACAATTCCTAGGTGCATTGCTTGGGTGTGTTTTCCCTCAACAACAGTCTTGTTTTTCCCCATGATTGTCTCCCCGAAAACGTGTAATCGTACCCCGTAGTTTTGATGTTAAGTCCCAGAGAGGTGGTTAGAAAAGGCTGGAAGCATGTTGTGGTTGTAAGTATGTTTTGTCTTATCGAACTGTTTGATGTCTAGGTTGATGTTATAGGTTGTAGTATTGATGTTAGTGCATTATGAGTGGCACATTGTCATAAAGGATTGTAGTCATAGAGGATTTCTCACAAGGTTGTCTGTTTCAGAAAAGAAAATTGTTCTCTAATTGAATATGAAGCTAGTGGCAATTTGTGATATGGAATGCATAAGTCAGACGTGATGTCAGTGCGGTTACGCCAAAACAAAAGTGTAAACTCGTTGATCCTGGCCACAATGTTCCAGGTGATTGGCCTTCATGGTAATCCGGAAGCGTTCACGGTTTGACGGTGGTGACCTCCCCGAATTCATGACACGGCAAAGATTATCACCTAATTTTGTTTCATGCTGAAACACCAGACAGCATTCATGTGACCATATACAAACATAAGTATGAGGTACGTGTTCGAAGCATGTGGTAGGCAAGATATACATGGTCACGGAGGCCTTGAAGACTGGCTTGTTATTTAGCCCGTAATGCTACCTCTGGGGGTAGATGACTTTTACCAATGTGACCTATTTGTCCTGCAACTGACAGTCATTTTAAACAAGGCTCTGATTTAGACCTATGGGTTACTTGGATTCAACAGTAGACTTTTAATGATGTGAGGGACTGGCTTAATCTGTAATACGCTACTGTAATTTCAAACACGGTAACTGGATTTAGAGTATAAACTACTAATGGGATTTACTGACCCAAGGGGCAGAGATGCAAGTGGAAGATTATTATATGGCACGCCCAGGGTAGAAAGTGTCTCTGTGGGGCAAGCAGTTACTGTGAGTTAGTGACCCAGTGCTGCTTTGCCATATTAGGATCAAAGGCCCTCAGTGTGGCATGGTATGAAGGACTGCGTTGGTTCTTTTGGATGGGGAGTTAAAGCCTTGTTGGTGAATTACTCATGAAGCGTAATTGCCCTCTTTGATTCTATATAGCATGTTGTTTATTATCTTCAACGAATTAAGTGATATTGACAAATTGTATTTCAAAGTTGAATGCCAAATTGCCCAAAAGTCACAACGAAGTGTCTGGTTGTGTCAATGATCACAGACTAGTTTTGCCAGGCACCACATGAATATAATGGAACAATCCAATGAAGTCATTACGAAAAACCTTTGATAAGCACAAGTCAATTTACCAATAAGAGTTGTGAACCTCCTGAATTTGCCATTAAGTGTTGTTAACCCTCCTAAATTTACCTTTATACATTGCCAAAATCCCCCCCTTGTAAGTTGTAGACCCTCCCTGTGGTCCTGCCCATGCAAATGAAGATATCTTGGGTTCCATCAGTTGCTGTCACACTACGCACTGTGACATTTGTCCCAAGGGAAAGGTGAAGTGATCAGAGAACAATGGCATTTATGAAACTTCACCTGGCAGCTTGATCTCATCTATTTTGCAAAGCTGACCTTCCTTTTTAAAATCCAGACAATATGTCACAATTCCCTTGTGTGTGGTGGAAAATAATAAAGTCCAAAAACAAATTTGTAGAGCACAAATGGCGAGGGACTTTTTGATTGGCACACAGTTTGGGACATATTGTGAAAAATGTACAGTACATAGCTAAAGGTGCTACATGTGTGAGTTGTGACCAGAGAACGTGTTTACCTGGGATGTATATACTGTAGATCCTTTTACCCACTGCGAACTTAAATTAATTCACAGTAAAGAAACATCCACAAGTATGTAGCCACAGACAAAGTTGGTGAAATATTGCTGGGTCTGTAGTATCTACTGTAAGTCTTTAAATATCTTACTGGTCACAGTTTTTGGAATGACCGCTTTGCAATGACAGCGAAATTGTACTTAAATCTAGGTACTGGGGGAGGGGCAATTTGGCATCACTGCTATGGAGAGGATTTAATGAGGCTACATAAATAATAAAAAAAATTACTTTTGTAATTGATTCTCCATCTTACATTGCCCTGATAGTGATACTCCCATGGCACTTATTAATGACCATAATGACCTGTAGTAGGTATGCCCTGGATACTGTAACAGTTGTACTTACAACGAGTAATCTTTGAAAGAAAATAGCATTAGTAATGGCTTACTTTTCTTTGGACTACACAGTTTCATGAGGAGTGATCAGTTCGCTTTGCTCACTCAGTGGTTTATTACATTGATTATAGGAGCTGAGCATGCCTTATGACACTGTATGAACCTCAGGGTGTGTCATTGACTGTACAGTATGTGACAGACCCAGGCTATATGTGACTGTTGGTGTCATATATAGCAGGGCCAGTAGTGACAGCTTCCTCAGAAATGTGACCTCTACTCGGAGTTTACACGTGCTTCAAAAGCACGTGGTGTGAAACGTCAGCCACAACTTACAATTAGGGTACACCAAGCATGCGCTAATATTTGCCATTCCAAAGAGTATGGGGCACCTCAAGGAATATAATTTTTTCATACAAACTTGCGTCAGAGAAGCACATCTTCATTTATACATGTTGGTTTAACCAGTTTTATTGGCAATGCACTATAACTTAGGAAGAAATAAGAACGCTTTATATCAACATTTGTATAGGATGTGAATGATGACATCTGGGTACAACCATTTCCTAAGGAGGGGTGTTTTTCTCATCAGACTGTTACATTTTTATGATATAATAGCTTCAGCTGCATGTAAGTTACAGTTCCAAATTAGGAAGCCTGCTCCAAAGAGACTGGTGTTTAAAATGTAATAAAAGGTGATTAGGTGTGGTTGTGTGATCTTGCATTGGCTTTTAAGTAGCATAGCCAAATAAATGGTTTGACCTGAACTGTTTTGATGCACCTTAAATGTGAGGTCAGTGGCCCAGTACATGACAGGCCATTGGCCCAAATTCCTTGTTGGTGTCCAGGCTATAAAAATGATAGTCACCTCACAAGTCCTCACAGAAGTAGCAAACCGTTACTGTATAGATGTCTAAGCGTTCGCCATTGTTCAAACATCAAGATGGAATTGTTGACGTTTTTCACCATGAGTATCGTCTGCATCTATTTCTACGTGCAGGCTCTGGACATTCCCGTGGAATCACGAATGGGGAAAGTCAAGAAGTTCATGTCATCGCCTCTGTCCAGGAAGAAACTCTCGCCCGGAGCCAAACTGTTCGGAGCCCCTCTGGAATCAGTACCTCGTGTTACAGACCTGAATGTACCTTCTATTGTCAAGAAAGTGGTAGACTTCATCACCATGCATGGTAAGGGTTATTTGCTGATGATTGCTTTTGAAAGTGTAGAATTTTGCTTTGGACCTTTTGATAATAATAAGTCTGGTGCCTTGCTGTTGCATGCAGGCCTCGTAATATTAAGGGTATGCAAGACTGTTGCATTACCTGTCAGACATCATATAAGGGGACCTGCTTGCCTTTTTGTGTTGAGTGTAATCAGCAGTTTTAATCCTGTGTACATGATACTACTAGTATCATAGCTGAACAGAACACGGAGAGTAATCAATGTATTCTATGTATGGCATAATTGACAACTGGATTAATGGTAAAGCAAAGCCAGCCTCTGCCTTTCAGTATTTAACATTGAAGTAGGCTCCCATGAGGCCACTGGAGTGTAGTGAACTTTTAGTTTCACCTTCTACTACTTGTATACTGTCATTGAAAACTCAATTTAAATGTCCGGACATAGCTATCGAGATTAGATACCATGCCTTGTGCTACTTAAACAGCTTATCGGAATTTGAGGTTACAGCATTTTGAAAATATCTCCAGGTCTAAAACAAGCGATGACCTTCGTACTATGGCAGGGCGTTCTGACCCATCTGTACAATATTTTGCATCGTCAGTTGTGAATCTTCTTGTCATGACCTAGAACGATATGTTAAGTAAACAAAAACTGCGTTGTTTGCATATATTATAGGTATTGGGCATGAAGGAATCTTCCGTGTGAATGGCAACACCAAAGTGGTGGAGAAGATGAAGACTAGTTTCGACAAGACGGGTGACGCGTGTCTGGAAGAGTTTGGGGACGTGTTTTCTGTGGCCTCGCTCTTGAAGCAGTACCTGAGAGAACTTCCCGATGCCGTCATCCCGGAGAGCCTCCACTCACAGTTTGTGGCTGTACAAGAAGGTATGGTCCATACTTATGTTTGTCTGCAGCATACGGTTAATTTGTTTTTCCCTAGAACTATCATGAGTACATCTCGTTGCCACCAAGGACAGTGTATGGACTTTAAACAACGCTTGCAGCTTGATGTGCAAAGGTCAAGTGTGACAGGTCGTTCAGTGTGATATAACTAGGTGTAGCTGAGCAGCATGCCTGCAAAACTGGTGTATTATACCAAAGGGCAGTTATACTGGCTATACAGATATAAAGTAAAAAGCTGGTGTATTATACCAAAGGGCAGTTATACTGGCTATACAGATTCAAAAGCTGGTGTGTTATGCCAAAGGGCAGTTATTATTAGACGATATTGACAAAGAGAAAGAAATGAAAGATGTATCATTCAGTTGTAGATGACAATGGTGCCTTAGGCTGTATAAAGGTGTTACGAGAAGTGTATAATTTGCCATCCCAAGAAAGATACCTCGAGGAAAGAAGGGTTTTATCTTTTCCTCGGTCGGACATGTGCTTCCATGGCACGTGGTAGTTATCTGATCACTGAAGTGCAAGGACGTCTAAACCTGGCAAGATGAGGGACAACAGATGATGAACCGGATAGCCAGCGAATGAGAGAGCAACCTGTAATAAGCTATAAGTTGACTTCTTACTGTGTTGATTGTTTTAAAATTGTTTCCTGTAATCTTGCTTGAGATGGTGTTGCACAGCAGGAAAATAGCTCACCCGTGGAGTTTGCAAAAGGTCATTTTTGACAGCAATAAGGCAGTTGTTCTGTCGATCACAATGTAATTTTTAGAGATTGGCTGATGTGAACAGGTCACAAGCTCCATTTAATGTGATAGGGCAGGTTTTTTGACACAAAATATGCTGGACACTTTAGCGATTTGGTAATTTGACTTTGTTAATTTGGTATTTGCCTCTGTAACTTTTCCTAAAGATCGTTGACAGTGTGACGCGGCTTTAGCAGTCTAGCAATCAACATATACCATGTAGTTAGTCCATGGCATTTCTTTCTCTTTTCGAAATGCATTTACACACACATTACGCCAATTATGCTAAACTAAAAACACCCACCAGTGTTTAAATGTTGATGGGAGAGCCCCGGACACGTGCTCCCCCTGCACGAGGCAGTGTTTATCACGGAGCAATTTGTTGTATGTCCAGAGTGAATGATTGCTAGGGGGGGCGATCCTGTTGACATTCCAAAGATACGCTGGTGGTTTGGTGGTTCAGTTGTGCTGTCCATCTGTCTGGGACCTACAATACTTCATATGAGACTGTGGCTCCCAGATGTGCCGTGATCATGAGGAAGTTTTAGGTCATGTCCAATGTTGTTGTAGAACTGCAGGGGCAATTTTGTTAAAATCTTTCGAAGGGGACAAGACTTAGTCAAGACACTAACATTAGTAACTAGAGTTCCACGATCTCATACCTTCGCCAAATGATGTTAGCTTTTATGATTAAGAAATTATATATTAATCCCCCTAATTATGCAAATAAGATCCTCATTTGCATGAATTATATCTGTTGATCATATTCTCCACCAAAAGACAGTCTTATCTTAACAAAGAATGCCATGATGAAATTTTCTCATAAATTATGCAAATGAGGTGCTTATTTGAATAAGTTATGTTTAATTATGTTCACCTTAACTTAACTTTCAAACACCCCAAGTATAAAATTCCAGGCAGTTACCACTATGCAATTATAATATTTTCTCATTAATTATGCAAATTAAGTCTTCATTTGCATAATCAATATCTGCCTGTGTTTCTCTCATTCTTAATAACATATGTCACAAGCTTGAACTTCCTATTATGGAATGCAGCTGATAAATAGAATTTCCTCATTAATTATGCAAATTACATCCATATTTGCATAATTGTAATATCATTATGTCAAGCATCACTCAAGCTACCTACATACCAAAAATCACGATGATCCATCCATCGGTTCTTGAGTTATCCCCCTTTAAACATTTGTCCATTAAACCCCCCCTGCAGTTCTAGAGCAAGCAACTAGGGGGCTCAAACTCATGTCACTTTATCCCCAGCACAAGAGCTATCTACCATCTAAATTTCGTCACCCTAGCATGTCTGGATCTTGAGATATCAAAACCGGAAGTTCTGCTGCAGTACCATGACAAGCCGCCAGGTGGCCCAAAATCTAATCATTTTGAGGTCTCATCAAGACCTACCCACCTACCAAGTATCAAGACAATCCATCAAGACCTTCTCAAGTTATCGTGTTGACAGACAGACAGACAGACAGACACACACACACATACACGAACGCCCCTGAAAACATAACCTTCTTGGCGAAGGTAACAACGGATTTTCATGATTTTAGGTATGTAGGCAGTGATTGTTTTCTTCATGAAATACATTTTGATTAGCGATAAAATGTAAAAATGGGATCCTGCCAAAGGATAGGATGTATAATAAGAGTATAGGTAGAGAAGACCATAAATCACAGAAGGTTATGCTAATTGCAAGCTTATTTACATAATCAATGACACAAAGTAGTCTAAAACTTCAGAAATTATAAAAGCTCTAAATACTTAATGAAAGCCCTTTAATTCTTGTCTTGTATTTGTTGTCTGTCTATTCCCCTGTGTCGACTTGTAAATGATTTGCTGGCCTGCCTGAATGTTTTTGTTGACCCACTGGTTGAGTGACCTGGGTACATGTCATCATGTCATTCCTGTGGCTGCTTACAGATTTCAACACATCCCTCTGGGGACAGGGCTCTAATCAGCTGATGAAAGCAGCTAGTCCCAGAATGTGTTGTGTATACACAGGTGGCTGTGAATTGTATTTTTATTTATCAATAATCAGTGACAAAGTCAAGTGTCCAACAATGATTAGAGTTTAGACACCTTGGTCACCATGGTACCTCAGTTGCAATAGAGCCTGCATGGGGGGGGGGGTTATTAGCAATTACGCTTGCCAAAATTTTCGCCGCTGATTAGTAATTACGTTAAATTCTTAGAGCTGATTACGACTTTACACTTTGGGGTACCAATATAAATTACGTTGATTTTTGGGGAGGCTGCCTACAGATTACGAAGACTAAAAAGGCCTGATTATGCCTTACAAAAAAGGGCATGCAGGCCCCCTTGCAATGTATTATGAGCCATGTACATATAGTTTTTCATGGAATTCATTATAGTTTCTGTTAGATGTTTGGTCAACATTGCATCAGAATTTTGTCCGTTGCATACAATATATTTTCCGACGTTTGGAAAGGACAGGCAGGATATCATCCTTATTTATGGGAACAGGACACGATGCGTTCTGCCAAAGTGGTGGTGATGGAGGGGCTTTTTGCTGGAGTTGCACGTATGTGTGGTCCTGATAAAGGGAACATTACTGTACATGTAATGCTTCACCAGACAGAGTGCCCACAAGTCGGACTGCATACCAATATGATGCTGTAAAATCCTTTGAGCTACGGGTCCAAAATACTGAATGTCAATACAGCATTAGCAGTACTGTAAGCTACAGTCTGTAGCTGTATAAAAGTATTGTAAATAGTATTTTGTTGCAAAAGTATACCACAAAGGTGAACATTAAATGCTGGAAAAGGGGAAAAAATGTATAGGTATGCTACAAATATATCTTAGATTTGAGATCCTCTTGCTTGAGGTTCTTTGCTTAAGATACCAAATGTCCAGATGATATAATAATTATACTGTCATCATTAAAGAGCACAGGTTACTCTTTCAAGTTGTACATGTCCACACCTGTATCTTAAGTACTGGTACCTGTACTTGATGTTACATTTACAGGTACTTAGCTACACTCTCAAACCATCACAGAGCATACTTGTGTAATACTTGTAATAAATAATGTTAGCTTTGAGGCTTGTTCATGTGAGGGAAACTATTTCAACACCCTTAAGCAACACCTGATGATCATATTCATAACGACCCAAACTAAGTGTCACATGATGTGGATGTCGGTTGTTGCTGGCCCATTGTTCCTGCCCTTGTCAGGTTATCAGTGAAGGGTGATTGGACATTAGTGTTGCAGTGGAGAACACCCAAAACCCACTTAGTAGAAGTGGCAAGGGTATTGTGGTGGTTTTTAATAGGAATGGACATAATGACATGTTGTCTGGTTGTGAAGTAAGGCAAGTGAATTACATGTATGTGGATGACATCTGTATGCATTAATTTTCGCCTGATTTAAAAAATAAAGAATTTGCTCATTTTCAGCGGCAATCAACATGACAAGAAAATACTGGGAAAATTTTGCAATTCTTTCTTGCCCGTCTTTTATTTCATGATCTCACTTTAAATTTAGAGTCTATAGTGGATGTCATCCATAGGATTTACTTGGTGTGGCCAAATAGAAATATATCCACCCTGGACAAGAGAAGGTAACATTTTGGACTGTCAACTCAGGTAGTGCTGATGAAATTGGAGCTGCAGTACAAGTATTTTTCATGTCGACTTGTGCCAAGCCTGTATGTACTTGGTATACAAGCGCATATGGAGTTTTGTTTACTGTACACCACCTGATCCAAAATGCTAACATAACTTAATTAATGGTCTGTTAATAATTTCCACTTTTTTTCCATAGAGTGGTGCAGGTGCAGTTTGCAGTGGTACTTTTTCTGGTGCAAAAAAAAATTATTTGAGCCACGCAATGTGGAAATACTCAAATAGTGACCCTGAGACATATTTTTACAGTATGAATAGGAGATGCCCACCCCCCACCTTGTCATGTGGTTAACCCCTTCCCTCCATTTATTCTGTGTGGAGTGGTTGATTTAAACAACCCTCTGATGTGCCACCCAGCCTGACCTTGGCAGTGGGGCCGTCCTCACGCTGAGTCTCACGTTTTCAGACATCTGATTTGTGGGAGGGAACGTATGGTCTGTAATGTAGTGGCAACAGTAGCAATATCCCAAATTCTGAGTCATTTTCCATTAGAAAATCTGTATGGAGGAGTTCTGTCTATGTGTTACAACTCATCTGGAAGACAGGATTAGAGGAATGCACA